ACCTATTACTAGCTATTAGGATAATAATTAAGTAGAATCTAATTACAGTAGAATTAGTGGTTACTGTCAGTGATTTATATCTGAGATCTTTCTAATTTCTCAAAAGATAATACCTAAAATTATTTCAGGATACTAGTTTTTAAGACAAGGTTTGTTACTTTCTTAAATGCACTCTATAAAGATCTTATGTACATCCTTTACTCCTAAACAGACATTTCAGGGCTTCAAATACCAAACATTGGGTGTCTGTATTGCATAACTGAATGAAAACACTTTTGCTTTCTTTGCTTATGTTATGATATTGCTCAGTCACTAGCACATCTTGTACAATAACAAAGGAAAATACCATCCCTGAGAGTCTAAAAATACAGACTGCAAACAGAACAGTGGAAGGCAATTGAGTACTTAAGTCAGTACTGTGAACAAAGATGAAAATGTCTTGTCAGTTCTGTTGTATTTTTTAATCTATTTCCAACTAGTGACGCATAAGTAATTCAGCCACTGCATTCATTAGTCTTCTGAGGACATTTCCAAATAGGAAGAGTTCTGGTGCAGAGGAGCTGTGGAGGAGTGTCACAGCAAGAGTTTTTGTGAGAGGAACAGAGAGGTGGTGTGAGACAGGGCAGTGTAAGAGTAGTGTGGCAGTTTATGGGTGAAGGAAGAGATGCGTGGTTGTTCCTTGCAGCATTTCCTGCCCAGTCATTCCTTGTCTGTCATTGTAAGAGATGGTTGAGATGCTAGATCTTACTGGAATGTAAGGATATGGATACCAAGAAGTATGCAGAAACATATGGCCAGGAATTGGTGGCTAATAGCATTTTAATGTGCAATTGCCACACGTGGGCTGGTAGAATTAAACCCTCCAGGATCATTCTGTAAATCACTGCACATATTCAATTAAAAAATTTGTCTCTTGAAACATAAATTTGCTAGAAGTAAGCATCACAGAGCTTTTCAGTAGCCTCTGTACTTTATTTATTAAGTAAAATGTGTCTTCCTAATTGTCAGTCTTGTGAATACAATTTGGCAAGATGAGCTGTAACATTCAGGGACTAGGGAAGAAAATTATGTAATACTTCTCTCTTATTCCCACCCCACATTTTGCAGAGCAAAAGTCCTGCTTTAATATTTGCCTAGATGTGTAAACTTACTGGGCTGTACTAGCAAAATTAGTGATGAAATGGGTGATCTTCTTTAATGTTTTGTGCACCAACATGGAGTAATAATTCACTTCTTTTGGTAGTTGCTGTTTTAGGAGAGGGTCGTTCACGTGTTGGTTCTTAAGTTCAAGCTGAATATTTGTGTTCCAGCATTGGGATTGCTCTGACAAGCACCCTTACACTTTTCGTGAAAAATCTGTGGCATTAAAAAAAATTGAAATATAAGAAATTTTATAGTAAACAAATTGGAAGTTTTAATAAGCATATTAAGATCAGGGCCTTGAAGTCTGGAAGGGAGTGGGGAGAACAGCAGTTTCTTAGGGTTGTTTTTTGTTTTGGTTTGGTTTGGTTTTGGTTTTCCACATAGGGAATTAAGATACACTGTACTGTGCTTTGAAAGAGCAAACTGCTCATAGCTGGCATTTGAAATGTGAGAAATGCCCTGGTTAACATGTCAGCAGGTTGAGCTTCACTGGGATAATATTACATTGGCAGTGCTGTGCATTAGGTTATGCACATACAAGTGTTCAGACTCTCTTCAAGCCAAATATGAAGCAATATCTTAAAGCAAAAGTTATTCAGATGAGGTATAACATTCGGTGTACATTTTTGTGACAATTATTTTCAGTGGTTTGGGGTAGAGCTTTACCTCAGATGATCAAGGCTGTAAACTCCCTCACCATTGCATGGTAGGACTGTGACAGGTTTGAGAGAGCCCTTGAAGGGTCAGGGAGGAACAGTGACATTTTACCCAAAGCATGTGCTAGGCAGTAAAGAACAGCCTACAGGAGGATTATGTCGTCAGATAGATACAAGGCTGTTTGGAAAAGCTCCTTTATGCAATCTAAATTATTCTCGACAGCATGGCTTCTTGGAGATGATTAAGGGCAAAGTATCTCTCTATTAATTTTAAAATGTTAAAATTTGTTTAATGTATCTAAAGCTGCAGATCTCTCAGTCCCAAAATTAATAATGCATATGTGGGTTTTGGTAGTGCATTTATTCTGATTATTGCTTAAAAACTTTCTTTCAATATAACAATTTTGCAACTTCTTTAAGAGTTTTTGTTGTGGAAGGAAAAAACAAGCTTGGTGGTTCTTTCTTAAGTAATTCCATCAGAGATTCAGATTTGTTATCAAAAGTCAACTTTAGCCTTTCCTGTGTCAGAGAATCTACAATTTTTTGTGTATTTGAAAAGTTAACTTATTTTAGTGTCTGTATTTTACACTGTTTCAATGTGCTAGACCTAGGCATCCTTCTTTCTTTGGGTGGAAGACCACTTATGGAATGGGGGGAAGGCATTTGCTATGTTGATTTTTGTTCTATTAAGAGAACCATGTCACTTTTAGATATCACATCAAATTTCCTTAGACATTTCTCTGGCTAATGTTTTCTTAATGATTTTCTTTCTTACTTTCACATATTCTTTTCCTTTAGTCTTAATAAGTGTGATTAACTTATCATTGCGAAAACCTTTTGTACAGTATCTTTTTGTATTTATTTCTTCTCTCTTCTGGTGTAGTTTTTAGACTGTGTGTTAGATGTACCCGAAATGTCAGTAAAATCTGAACACATCCACACTACTTGGACTCTAAGCGCATTTTCACTGAGAGCTAGAGCTTAGGTAACTGCTGCTTTTTGGAGTGGAAACGTGCATTTCTTCTCTTCTGATGGGCACTTGCCTTCTCCTATCTTGGGCTGGAATACCTGGATGAATCTGATCTGACCCCAAGTTTTGCAAATGCATTTTCCTCAGGAAAATCAGGATAGTAATTAATGACTTAGTAACTCACTCAGGTTCTTTCAAATGCTTTAAAGACATTTGTATCCTAAAGTTAGAGATAGAAATCCGTTTATGAAAGTCTTTGCTTTTTGGTCGTTGGCTGCATGCGAATCAGGTTGAACTTGAGTACGATTTTGGCTCTAGTTTTTTGTCTTATCTGCTAAAAACAAAATGTGGCCATCAATTACATAGAATATAATCAAGAATTACAGATACTTTTGGCATATATTGATTATGTTCTCACTTACCAATCATTACCTCATTATATTTGTGATGTCATTCATCACTTATTGTCTTCTGGGAAGGATTGCCAAAAATCCTCAGGCATTTCTAGTGACTTTTAGAATACTCACATTCTTTCTTTGCTTCAGTTCTGTGCAAGACTTGATACTGTACAGTCTGCTATGGCACATGATGTGTTGCAGTGCACCATTGGGTCCTTAGGATGTGTGACAAAAACAGGTATTCATGGTGGCTCCTAAACTTTTCTTAGACTGTGGTGGTTTTCTTCAAAAGGGCTTGGACTTTCTTCCCTATTTACTAGTCTTATTTTTCAAAAACTTTTGCAGTTAGGAAAATAGGACAACATCCTCTGCTGAAATTTAGGTAAGGAAAGACGGAAATCCCTGGAACTGTAGCCAGCTGTGACATCTCAGTCTCTGTCCAGTGAATGGAAGACCTAGGATCAAACTGGAAGTTTGCATCCTGCATCAGCTTCCGTATTCTGTTTTTATGACTGAAAGGGATGGATTGATTAGAAACTCAAGAGAATTCTCCTCAGATATTTGGGTTGCTTAGCATATACAACTATGATTCTGTACATTTTGTACAGAAACACTGCTGGGTTTCTTGATCAAGTGGCCTGGGAGAGACTTCTTTGCTGGTGCAGATCTTGGATCAAAATGCCCTGTCTCTCAGTTGAATATCCTGATTTGACCAGCAACCTTTTTGGCATCTTGTGTCTTACCGCCCTTCCATTCTTTTCTGTTCTTTGCCTAGAAAAAACAACAGTTTGTTCTGACATACCAGTATTATGTTTAGCTTGAGATCTTAATCAGCTCTGGTCACGTAGCATTAATGTTACTGTGTGATTCTTTCCAACAGTATTTCTGAACTCTTTTTCTTAAAAATGTAAGATTTTGTTTAAGTTATCCCTGTAAAATATCAGAAGTTTCAAAATAAAGATAGGTAAGTTTCCAGTCAGGGTATAAATATCCTACAACGTTCTATATGTGTGTGTATCATTAAGCAATTAAATTATTAACCTTAATCGTTAGGTTTTCTTGTTTGTTGGAGTTCATTGGAAGTTCAGATGTAGTTCAGCTGCTTCCTTCAGGGGATAGAAGTTCCCAAACCCTTCTTTCCTTTTATTATTAAGAAAAAAAATTAAAATCCAAACCCAGGCTTGTGTCCCTTAGAGATGTGTGTGCAGCTTTATTTCCTGGGGACAGGGAGGGCTGTTCCTTGGGAGTGCTTTCAGAAGTAGAGAGGTGTGGCTGTTAGTCTCTCTCATGAAGGGAGGACCAGGAGGTACCAGGGTGGGCTAGGTGACCTTTGTTCCCAAAGAAAGTCCCAGTAGAAGAATCATCCTCAATCTGTATACCTGTCCATCAGACATTGCAACCACAAGGAAACTGTAGGCCTGGGGAGTAAGTGCAGCCTCTTTCTATATTTTCATAGAGAATTTCAATTATAATGGGAAGCCATGAGACTTTTGTTGCTGAAGGCAGGGATTTTCATCATTCTTACGCAGCAGCCTTTTATGTGGCTTTGGAAGGGCACAAGATTATAGAGGATGACCTAGTATAAAAATATATTTCCATGTGGAAGAGTATTATTGGTAGTGTTAAAAGAATTTCCTCAAAGGGTTGATTTCAGCTGGAGAAAAAATTATTTTTCATTTTTTGCATGAAAAATTAAAAGAAATGCCTAGAACAAGTAAACTAATTTTACTAGAGTAAGTAAATAGTTCTATTTCTGAAAATGTCTTCTTGAAAATATTTTAGTCATTCTGTAAATACCTTTTAAATGTCTGTTGTTTTTATTTTTTATTACAGGAGCTAGAGTTAATGCCAAAGACAGCAAATGGTTGACTCCTTTACACAGAGCTGTAGCATCTTGTAGTGAGGTATGTTGCTCTTTTTGACTACCTTGTGTTAAAATAAGACTTCTCAAATTACCTTCTGTCCGTTATTCGTTTTTTAAAAAGTGAAACGACTCCAAATGTTTGGAATTGCAGAACATTTTTGCAATGGTTTTTTTGGCCTTTTGAGGGAATTCATGTATGTATGTATATCTATTGCTTAAGCAGTAAGAAAGGAGGAAAATTATAAACTTTGAGTTCTCAGCTTTGCTCTCTGTGCCTTCCCTAGCAGAGGACTCTGCATGTGGTGTTCTCAAGTCTTATTTACTTCTGCTAAGGTAACCAGAATGGTTCAGCATGAGGGAAGTACAGATGAATTAAGATTTAGAACAACTTTTACAGCATGGTCTTTGCATTACTTCATATTTTTTTACATGCTTGTGTATTGAGGCCTTGAAGAAATAAATGATTCTATTAAAGGCCTGCCAGTGTCTTTTATTTAAAAAGTGATTAATTAATAGTATTGAATATCACTTTAAAATTCTTAAGTGGAATGTAGACTGTTTCTTGAAGTCTACCAGTTGTACATTTGTGAGAATATCATAATGCGAGAAATTACTTGGCTATTGTTTCCCTGTGGTGATTGTCCTGATAAAAAATTTAAATATCTGTAGAAGATCAAAACAAACAGAGAAATGCTGATCTTGTTATGTGGAAGAGTTTATGCAAAACTATCTCCTTTGAGATCCTGAATCAAATTGATGCTCATTTCAGTACGTTTCAAATAAAGGTTTTTTATTAGTAAATTTTTGTTTGGGAAGATAGAATTGAATATTTTAGTTTTGACAAGCATTGAACTTCAAGTGTTTCATCCATGAGCTGTCTAAACAAGCCTTGTTTCAGTTTTTGCTTTTGAATTCCCTGGATAAACTGCAGTATTTTGTCACTAGCATTAATAGCAAAGTTATTTAGAGATCATGTTATTCAAAAAAACAGTGTTTGAAAATGAATCTTCAAGGGCTTCTTATTCCCAAATGCTATTTGTTCTTGAGATATTTTTAGGCTGTTCCTTTGGGAGCTGACCAAAGCACCAAATGCTGCATTCTTCAGAGCTGAGGAACAATAAAAGCTCGCCACATCAGTAATGCTTGCAGAGGCAGAGGAGTGCTGCAAACAAACTGGGATTAAATGATAACTTCAAAAAATGCAATCCTGGTTATAGTTTTGTGTTTTTTTTTTTTTTTTTTAAATATGGAAGATTTTAAACAAAACATTATTCAGAGGCAAACAAGACAAGTAAACCAGTCAGAGCTTGATAGACGCTTGTCAGAATTCTCTATTTATAAACACAGTGAGTCATGGGAACCCATGTACAGGGTTGATACATGTAGGCACTGTTTTCTAGCTGACAGACCTATATGAGTTTGGGGCACTGGATGAAAAGCTGTAATGAAAAAAAATGGATAATGATTTCAGTAGAACATCTGGGCTCTTGAAGTGTGGACAGCTGCAATTAAACAAGGACATTGAAACTTAAAAGATAGCTGCAGTTATGGATTTAGCTGTCAGCCGCTCAAGTTCAGGCAGCATTATGTCAAGGCAGTCACATTTTTATTTGTGTGTGCCTGCTGTATGTTGCAAATTAAAAGAATAAAGAAACCCCAAGTAGATTCAGTCATTAAATTCATTAATGCAAATGCACATAGAAATTAGATTCATTATTTTTATACTAATATTGTGGTGCTTCCTTCTGCAAAAGGGGTAATAGCTGTTCTCAAATTTCCTTGTTCTGATATGGTTCTGATATGTTCTGATATTTGGGTTAAACAAGACAAGACTTAAAATATAATTAGTTTTTTAAAGTACTAAATCTACTTCAGTTTCAGAGAAGACCTATTCAGTTTTCTCATTAAAGTACAAGCCTGTGATGCAGTATTTTCACTTTTGTGTTTGTTCCTATCTTCTTTTTTATTAACAGTACAAGAAATTTCAACATTTTAAATGTTACTTATTCTAATATAAATAGGATCAATAGTGACTTAGCAATCTGCCCATAGACCTTGCTATCATACCACAGTGTAATTCAGAATCTCTAGTAACAACTTGTGGTAACATGTTTAAGTTCAAAGTGGTAATCAATTATTTGTGTGCTCAGTGACTGAATTGGCAGTCACCAAAAGCAATTAGTGAATCGTGGGAAGGTCACACAGCTGATGCAAAATGCAGTATTCATCATCATGTTGATACTGCCAGCACGTTTATTTTTTTATGCATTCCAATTGTGTGCACGTATTTTAATGGGATTTGTTTATCTTGCTTAAGAATTACAGTCTTATTTGTCAAATTTTCACAGCTTGTACTTCTAACAAAAGGAAATGAATAATCATTTTGAGAGATAGAATTTAGTGCAATATTTTAAAACGGTTTTCAGGAGTTTTGCAACAGTGTGTGTTGAAACTTTTTGTGACTGTGCACTGTTCCATTTTTGGTTCTCTAAATGTACATTTAATAATCTCAGGTTTGCCATTTGTAGACTTGGACGGTTGAAAAATTTTACTTGGCAGATTGATGGAAATTCATTATAAATTCATAGTACTTCACTAATCCTTGGCTAAGACTTCCACTAATGGAAGAAATCCTAGGATGGTTTATTAAACTATGGAAATCAGTTGTGATGAAAAACAGTTTTCCATGTGGCTTAAGGAATAAAAGACCAGGAAGTGGTTGATTTGGTTATATTATTCATGTCCTTAAGAGCATCCTCAAGTTTGGATTTATGATAAAGTACAAATCCCAGTGTCCCAAAGATTATGTCTGCAAATGAACAAATCGTAAAGAGTTGTTTTCCACTGTACTGTCCTTAAATCCAAAGCTGTCATTTCCTGTCTTTACTAAATGGCTTGATTTTTTTTAAATGCTTTCAGGATGCTGTTCAGGTGTTGTTAAAGCATTCAGCAGATGTCAATGCTCGTGATAAAAACTGGCAGACACCCCTACACATAGCAGCTGCAAATAAAGCTGTGAAGTGTGCTGAAGCTTTGGTGCCTCTCCTAAGCAATGTAAATGTGTCTGATCGAGCAGGCAGAACCGCACTGCATCATGCAGCCTTCAGTGGACACGTTGAGGTAAAAGTTAATTTTTTTGTCTTCCACTCGTCATTCTGTCCCTCACATTTCTGATATTTCATTTTAGAGTTTAAAACCATTTCTCCCCCATTCCCTTAAAAATCCTCAACCCCTATTTTACATTTGAATTTGTTTTCTGTATGCATCTCTGTGCAGAAAAGTTGAGGAAAATAAATCTTAGGTCATTTAATTGAAAGTTTATTACAGTGTTCACTTTTCTTGTGACAGAAGCAATTTTGTTAAGTGGAGTTAAATTAGTAACAGGTAAATTTAAAATGGAAAAGCCAGGATATTTTTCTGTTCAGTAAAAGGTGAACATAGGGAGTATGTTGTCACTGAAATATGGAGGAAATATATGTAATAAGCTCTGACTCATTAGTCTCTTAGTAATAACCTGAAGATTTAAAAGATTTCATGGCTTTGCACTATTTAACTGGAAGTGTTTTTGTTGACATCAAGTTTTGTGTTCCTTACAGTCACTTCATTGTGACGGCTAGTTTTTTCAATCTTATGGAATATTCAAAACCCAACACATTTGAATCCTCTGAAAACACATAAATTTTTGTTTTCTTACATGGTTTTCTCTGTTGAGGCAAAGTGTTTTCCATTATGAATAGAAGATTTGTGTTTTTTCTCTTTATCTCAGATGGTCAGCTTACTGTTGTCTAGAGGGGCCAATATTAATGCATTTGACAAGAAAGACAGACGAGCTATACATTGGGCAGCATATATGGGTATGTACATATTTCAGTTGATTAATACTGTAGTAATAAAAAAAATCATTGCATGTTTAGTGGTTTGACATATTTCTAGGAAAAATATTTGCATTGTAAGGTTATCTGTGTCTGCCAAAAAAACATTAATAGTATAGTTCAAATTGCCTTGTAAATGTGTATTTTGTGGTGAGGAAAATCAATTTATTGAAAAAAGAAATGTAAGGTAAGTAGTTTTGTTCTTTAAAAAGGAGGAACTATGTTCTTCAGTCAGCAAGTCTAGTCACAGGTGAAAAATTTTGCAGAAATGCTAAGTAAAAGGTAAGCAGTTAATATGAGGGTCACCTGCAACAGAGGATCATTGCAGCATCCTTGGGGATTGTATTTTCAAAGAATATTTCATCTCTGAAACTACAAATTCTTGCCTCGCCATTCTTATTCCAGGAGTGGATAATTATTGTTCTCATGGTCTTGATCAATAGCCTGGCAATGCTGTCAGAGTAATGTTCTTCCTTGCCTTTTATCAGACTTGAAAAGAATTGAATGTGCCATTCAATTATGAAGTAATCATCGCAGCAATAATGCTCTTAATTTATTATTTGAAGCTAGATGAGATTGCACTTCTGTTATTGATACCAGTACTTAAAACCCCAGAAGTTATAGAAAAGTCTTCATTATTGATCTACTGTTCTTCCAATATTAGTGTTTTTAATGTAGTTATATCTGCAAAGCACTGTCTGTGACAGTCTGTCCAGCCACCTTATTGAATGTGGTTATTTGCAAAATTTTGTTGAATGAAACTTGTACGTGAAATTTCAGAGAACTGACAAGTGTCAGTGGGAGGCCAGAGACACCTTCTGCCTTGTGCTTGCCTAGGTGAAAAGTCTTCTGTTTTGCAGATAAGCTACACTTATTCCAGTTTTAATCAGTGCTATTTTGTAGGCTATTTACAGGGAACTCTCTTAATGAAGAGTGTTTGGGCAGGAAAAATGTAATTTAATTGATGTCGATCTGCCTAAATTTCCCTGTAGACAATAGAGAAGAAAAAGCTTTTGAGAGTCTTCAATCAAAGTAAAAATAATTATGACATTCCCCCTCACAATTTAGAGCCATTGTACATTGCTCCAATTGTTTGGAGAAAACCTTAAAAACTTTTTCACCATGTAAAACTGACCATAAAATAAAGAAGTTATGCTTTTCGTCACTCTACTATAAATAACTTTCTAGGGCGATCCATTGTTTTGCTTCCTTCCTGCTTTTCACCCGGCTCCATTGCTGTCCAGCTGCAAAGCTGTGACTGAAATGGACTTAGAGTCCTTTGTGCTGGTGTTGCCCTCACTGGTGCACCGGGATGTCTCTGCCGCACTTCTCACGTCAAGTACCTTGCTCTTCTCTTTGGGAGTCTTCCACTGATCGCTGTTTGCCTTTTCAATGCAGGTCAGGGTTTGGTGGTTTTTTTTTGTTTTTTACCTTCCCTTTGAAGTTTTTCCTGCCACTGCTCTGTTCACTGTCTCTATTCCTTTTGCTGCTTTCCATATCTTCTGTATTTCTGTTTCTCCTTTAGGCTTGTTTTCATTCTTTTCCCCATTGTATTTGGGTAAAAAGATGAGTATTGTATTTGCATTTCTCTTTCCCTTCTTTCCTAATATACTGAGATAATTAAGAAGTGAAATATTATTGCAGCACTTCACATTGCACTGGTAAAGTCTTATGGCTTTGGTTGGTATAGCTAGGTGAAATGGTGTTTTGTGTGCTGTTGGGTACTCAGCATAAAATAAGTATCACAGTGTCTGAGTGTTTATAAAAATAGCTTTGTCTGTATTCCTTTGGGTAGGCACTTCCTATTCAAACTTTTGCAAATTCTCTTAACTGCTTGCAAAGCAAAGACCCACGCTCTTTGTGAAGCACTTAAACTGAAAGCTGGATTTGATACTTTCTACTGACTGGATAAGTATGAACATAAGTATTCAGTGTGCCCCTCACCACTTCTTTAACTAAGGAAAGGATGTCACTTGAAGGTAAAATAGAGTCCTGCACGGGTCAGTTATAAAAGTAAAGCACCAAGTGTATTGTGCTCTGTTATAAGTCATGTATTTCTTTATCCAGCAGTCTTTGTCATGACTATCCATGTAATTAGTTGTTTGGCAGTTAAATTAACAATAGAACAAGAATGACAGATACTTGGCTACCCTATTTTCATGGCTTCTTAGTAGGCAGTGTCACAAGTGCCTGCAAGCGGAGGAGGAGCATGTGGGCATGGAAGGGAAAAGCTCATTGCCCTTTGCAGCAGGGGTGGGTGTTGGTGTTGGGGTCCCTGGCCCAAAGCTGGCAGTGAGAGCTGCTGCCCACCCCTTCAGGGTGGGCTCCCTGCCCTCTCTTCTCTTTTCCACCTGGAACTTCCCCCATGTCATGCCTTCCTCATTATCCCAACTCTTACTCTTCCTCGTACTCTACTTCCATTGTCTTAGGAGAGCAGTTGATGCTTTTAAAAGGCTGTGGTTCCTCAAAGACCATCTGAGTCAGTCTTGAAAACAGAGCTTTACTAAATCCTTTATGATGTGGCTTAACATTTCAAATGCTTTGTGAGTAAAGGGAGTTGGATTGGGGGGTATATTTTTATGTAAAAGTAGTATATTTTCTTCTTTTCATCAGTGCATCAATTTTTCAAAGTTTCTGCCTAAGATTTAAAAATCTTAATGGGTGTGATTGGAATTGGGGTGACAATGTAAGATTGACAGTCACATTGTCTCATAAATTGTTAATGTAAATTTGTGGTAAATACTTAATAATTACAAAGTTACTTTGCCTCTCGAGTTCTCAAGTCTGAAAAAAACCCTTCTTTTTAAACAGAAGACTGGATTGTGTTTTGAGTATACAAATTTATTTTTGCAGTGTAAATGCTGTGATTGTTGGGTGGAGTGTGTGAAGATGATTATTTTAGTTGCTTTTATAGTTCATGATAGGATTAGAAAACAAGAACAATTCTTTGTTTTCTACATTAGGTCCAAAGGAATAATGGCTTGATCGTGTTATAACAATTGTAGAATTATTAAGTTTGCAAACCTGTGCTGGTTAATAAAATACGATGCTTCATTTTATTTGTCTTTATTATTTTAGGTCATATTGATGTTGTGAAATTACTCGTGACCCATACAGCTGAAGTGACATGCAAAGACAAGAAATCATATACACCCTTACATGCTGCAGCATCTAGTGGGATGATTAGTGTAGTCAAATATCTTCTGGATCTTGGAGTTGATGTAAGGAAAAATAAAATTACATGGGATTTTTTTCTTGTTTTAAATACTCTTGTTAGTGCTCTAGCACACTGTTTATTTAGGGACAGGTTAGGATATAGTGAAAGTACGTGAAGGAAGATCTCTGGAAGTACTGCTTTTTCTCTTATAAACCCTAATTTCTCCATTAAAAGAAAACCTCCTTCAAAGCCTTGCAGATTTTGCGCAATAATTTGAAAACAAGTATGTATTCAGTGGGTCTTTTTGTTTATTTGATATTTCTTGCTCTTATTTCATTGGCTGGAAATCAGGAAATAGGAATTCTGATCCTAGCTTTGCCACACAATAATTTTTGAAGTGCAGGAAATTAAATGCTTTTGCCTCAGTTGGTAAAATATACATGTCACTTTCCTACGTGACATAAATTTTAGATAATACTAAAAATTATGAGAAACTTCAATACTGCAGTAAATTAGGCCATATTAATATTGAAGTGTAAATGAAGAGGTTCTAGAGTACCTGCCTGTAGAAGGAGTGTTAACAGTAAACTGTGAAACTGTGTAAGAAATCTACATTGTGAATCACAGTCTTAGTCTTGCAAGTCTGGAGATTGCAACTCAAGCTCAATATTGAGAAGTAGATCAAAATTCAGTGTCATGTTGTGTACAACAAGAAATTCTGTTTCTGTATGTGCACATGCACACACAAAAAGGCTCTTTGACCTCTGTTTTTAATGCAAACTTAATGCAATGCTGTTTTATAGCAAAGGTGTGTGCTATGCTTTGTGCGTAGTATCTGTGCAAATTGCCACAGTTGATATTTTTGGCATGTGTGGCTTCTCTTAAAGTTGCATACAGGAAACTGGTGTGGAGACAATTGGAGGAGGTTGGCTCGCTTGTAAAGCAATCATACTCTTCCCCAGGACACAGATCTCAATCAACAAGCTGTATCCAGAACTTGCTTTTAATTTCTGCTTTTGAAGAGTTCCAAAACATAATCTCATAACATGAGATTTTTCCTTTGCTAGAATTAAATGCTGCATAGAGTGCCTACTAACTAATCTTGGGGTTTTTTTCTCTTCTAGATGAATGAGCCAAATGCCTATGGAAATACTCCTCTCCATGTAGCTTGTTACAATGGGCAAGATGTTGTAGTGAATGAACTCATAGACTGTGGTGCTAATGTAAATCAAGTGAATGAGAAGGGGTTTACACCTTTGCACTTTGCTGCTGCATCAACACATGGAGCATTGTGTTTAGAGCTCTTGGTCTGCAATGGAGCAGATGTAAATATAAAGGTAGGTGTATCCAAAGCCATCCTTTCACACTTAAAAACACTGTGCATCTCTATCAGAGGTAGTTTTTTCAAAAATACTTGTTTTGGTAACATGGAGAGGTTCCCACTGATAGGTGGAGTATTTGTTTGAGAAGTACTACAGTAAAAATGAGCCAGTATGTTGCTTCAAGAAACTTGATCTGAATCTGGAAACCTCAATGGGATATGTTACATAGCCCAGAAGGATGAAGAAAAATGCCAGTAATGTCTAGCCAATCTTGATTACATTTAAATGTCAGAATTCTGTATGCTTTGTTTTCCCTAGTCTAGCCATATAAGTAAGAGCAAATAATTTGAAAAAAAAAATGCAAAGGTATTTGTTTTTCTTATAAATAAGTAACATGAACAAAATCAGGGATATTTCAGGGCAATGTGTAGACCTGGCTAATTGCTGGAGCAGGTGAAGAGATGACAATGTAAGATCTTAGAATCTAATCAGTCAGGGAGATTTGGAAAGAGTGTATTAAAAATACAAATGTAAGTAGATCAGGCCAATGGAAAGTCTTAAACAGCTGGTGTTTCAATTACTCCGGTGAAAATGTGTGAGCAGAGTCAGTATACATTTTACATCTCTATTTGGTCACAAGTCTTTGACTGCAGAATATTCCTTAGAATCCAGCCTTGTTGTAGGTAGAGAGATGTAAGTAAGACCTTCTGGTTTGTATTATGTTGATTTTTACTCTAGTAATAAAAACTTAACTGTGTTCAGAAATATTTAGTGGCAGTATCTGGTGTCTTGGCAGGTCTTAGGCTCAGGGAATCAGGAAATGGGCATATGGAATGAAGAGTCCAAGTGTTCCTTATGGCAAAATGTCTGGTTGCCTGAACTGTCACACACATGTGGTATGAAGGGAATTATCTGTTATTTAATTTCTTGGAAAAAATGGAAAAGAAACCTGATTAATAGGTTTATGCTGGAATTTCAGCACAATCTGTGCAGGAGGTGAATATTAGAGTAGCTGACATTTCTGTTAAAAATCTTGGGGTTTGTGGTTCACTTCACGTAAGCAGTGATTTTTACAGTGATTCAAGCTGATTTTCAGCTAATTAATATCAAAATACAGTTTTATATCTACTGTTAGTACAAAACTTAGAGCCAACTGAAAATTTGAGAGTATTTTAAAAATAAGCTCTTTGATGTGGTAAAATCCTAAGTGTATGTTCCTGCTCACTGTTACATATATTTAGACGTGCGGCTCATTTAATGAAAATGTGCATAACTCAGATGTGGAAAAATTCATCATCGAAGTGCCCTGCAGAACTAAGGAGCTGTGTTACAGGGTTTACTGCCAACTTGTCCTAAAATATCCAGGTCACAGTCCATTTATTTTTGTTGCCAGCTTTCTACTCTGCCTAATGTCCCAGGCTGCATATGACTGAGTGTTCAGTGTTACAGGGCTGGCTGACTTTTGTCCTACATTCTTGAAACATCATTTTTCAGTAAAGTGTGGTCTGCCATGAAAATAATCCCACAATGTTAAATATGCAATACTCTCACAAATAAGAGCAAAAGAGAGCTTACAGCACCTTCTAGTACCTGAAGGGGGCCTACAAGGGAGCTGGAGAGGGACTTTGTGCAAGGGCATGGAGTTACAGGACAAGGGGAAATGGCTTCAGACTTTGTGAGTAAGGTTAAATTAGATATTAGGAAGAAATTCTTTACTGTGAGGGTGGTGAGGCCTTGGAACAGGTTGTCCAGAGAAGTTGTGGATGCCCCATCCCTGGAAGTGTTCAATGCCAGGTCAGATGGGGCTTTGAGCTACTTAGTCAAGTGGAACCCTGCCCATGCTAGCAGGGCTGGAACCAGATGATCTTTAAGGTCCCTTTGAGCCCACACTCTTCTGTGATGCTCTGACAAATATTAACAAACCAAGAATTACTGTTTTTCTAAATGCAGGGCTGCAAGGGTTCATGATTTTGTGCATATTTCTGATGTAAAAGAAAGAAGTGGACAGGACTCATTTCAGAAACAGCATCAGCTTTTGCTGTGGGTTGGTTGTAATTAAAATATATTGATTTCATACATATCAAAATTCTTAAATACAAAATTAAGCAAGTAGGGCTTAAGCAATTATAGCTTGGAAACAGCATTTATCCCAGTTTCCTCATCAAGGTGTTTCTGTTGTAATTCTGTTAGTAGTATTTCTGTGGATTTATACCATTATGATTGAATTTGGCCTGTAAATTTGCACCTGAAGGCGTGAACAGACTTACTTTGTATATGAAAACTTAGCACTTGCACTGTGGAAAAAAAACCAGAATGTGTTATGTAACTAACAAAGAATTGTGGATTTAAAATGAGATGGAATTAGTGTGTTATTACTAAATATTTGTTGAAACCAAGCCTGTTCAGTTTCCAAACACTGAGGCTGGAATTCAAAGTAGTTCTTAAAATGGCTATAAGATCTATTTTTCATCATAATTATATTGCTTGTGTAGGCTGATTCAATCATTTCCTCCCATGTGCAACTTTTCCTGTGATTTTGGAGGTTAGAGAGTGGATATGGACGGTAATGTAGGTGCAGACTGGACGGTACTATTACAGTGCTTCCTGCTGTGGATGACTGAGAGGGGAGAACAGAAGGGAAACACTGCTACTCTTGATGGCAGATAGAGAGGAAGTTCTGGTGCATATCTGTGAGTGCTGGCCTCATCTCAAGAAGGGATTGCATAGCAGAAGATAATAGAACAGTAGAAATATGTTATATGCTTTTTGTCACCTCTGGACATAATTTCCTACTTGTTTTCATAGCCTTGTCAGTGTCTACTGTAGAACAGTGAATCTTATCAAGTATTGCTCATTACTGCAGCACTCCCTCCTCTCTATTCAGGATTTCCATGCATGGAAGAACACATTGAAATGAGTATGTAATGGGACAGTATTAATTGTTTTATGGACCCCATTGCTGCTTGAAAATTCAGTGACCTAAATAGAAAAAGTTTTTTGCTTCCATTGGCGGTACTAGAACATAAGAATTGTTGCTAGGGGGAGATTTCATTTGGAGGAATGCTGTGACATGATAGACCCACATTTCCTCTCCCTCAGTGAAGCTCAGTAGTCTGAGTACAGTTAATACGTCAATAAGACACCTTGTGCTGTGCATTATTTCTGTCTAATAGCAAATATTGTTCTTAGCAAATTTGTTATGATCCAGGTATTTTGTGGATATATTTTCTCTAGTGATAGAAGAGATTTGGGTGATTCCTTTCCTATTACCACATTTAGCTGAGTTTCAGTGAAGACAACAGAAGTTTATCATTAGCCCATAGCTGTCCTGTCATGTGCTGTGATCCTGTCTGATCTCATTAAATCACACAGCTGTAGTTAGCTTCATATTTAGAGAGAAGACCTTAAAGACATAAAGAAAGAGAAATGGAAGCAAAGTTTAGAGGATACCTCCCTGCTTCTGCAGTCCAATCTCCTGGCATCTCAGGAAATAGTGATTTGCTTAATAGAGCCTTGATGTTTCATTGCTTAAAGAAATGTTTAGCTACTGGTTCTGGTTCTATATATCCTTTTCTAGTGTCTTAGAAGGCAATTCTCAATGCAATCCTATGCCTGGCTGTTCAGCTTCAACATGGCAATTGTCTTCATTAAATTTTATACCTGTTCTATGTTTATATGTTGACAGACAATTGCATGTTGTGTTATTCCTGGGCTGGAAAGGAACCTGAGACTGTTAAGACATGAGAGAGGCACTCTCATAAAATCCATTGTCTTAGAAATCTATGTTAAGTGCATTTTTAAGTAAATTTGAGCAGAGTAAATCTAAAAGTCTCTTAATGATTGTACTGTGTTTTTTCATTTATAAGTGGAAAATGATTCTGTAGCTTATTTTGCTGTTCTTTGCAAGATCTTACTGAAGGTTTCTCGTGAGAAAACTTAACCACAGTGCTCTTCAGTTTCTAATACTGTCACCTTAAGTTATTCCTATGTCTTTGTGAAGTGTATTATGAGATGTGTGTTTTTTCAGCTCCGTCTACGTCCTCTTCATTAGCCTTCCTTTCAGGTACAGATTTGTCCTGTCTAAGCTAGTGAGACTGGAGGCTGCTTTATCTGAGTCCTATTCTAGACATTCTAGAATCATAGAATTCTAGAAATTCTGTCTGTTACTTCACTAAGCTTATTTTATATTTTTTCTTTAAATTAATAGATTCTATAGATTCTTCAGGTTAAAGAAGGATAAAAGTGAGGGAAAAAGTCACCAGATGTCTAACAGTTGTTTTAAAGTAATTGGGCACAGAGACTTTTAGTGGTTAGATGAAGATATGAGAACTGAACTGTAGGGAGAAACATGAAAGAAAACTGAAGCACAGAGGTTGCTTGGAGAAGTTGTCACTTATGGTGTGTTTATTTGGCTTTTTCTTAAAGCCTCCAATGACAGAATTAAATTGATTGTCTAATTCCTCAAGAGGATTTCAACCCCATGTTCTCTGTTTATTTGCATCTGCTATGGATATGTGGTTGTTGTCATTTGATTATTTATGGTCAAAGAAATCTGCTAGCTGAACGAGCTAGAGATAACTTGGCATTCCTTATCAAGTGTTTAATTTCTTTCCATCTAGGTCTGGGAAGACAGTGTTTCACATAATTGTGCTGTTATGCTGCTCTGGGCAGTGACACAGTGAAAAAATCCATATCCATCCCTAAAAGGGTCTTCAGCAGACTTTCAGTATCACATCCATAGAACCATGTCCATTTGGTGCCAAAGGGAGAGTAAAGATGGGAAGATACTTTTGCATATGATGACAATTTGTGATGTTTCAGTACATGTGTTCATATCACATGTTCCCCTGCCATCTTTGTCTGATTTAACTTTGTATTTTGTGAACATTTCACACTCTTGAAAGCCATAATTGAAAACATAGATTCAGTATGCATGTGCATTCAAGGTCCTTGGATTTTCTGTGTCGTGTTTGAAATTCTTTGAGGGCATGTGTAGGAACTTTTTTCTGCAATAAAGCTTTCCCATTACCTGTGACAAGCATGAGGGGAAGATATTCCAAAGTAATAGCAACAGTAAAAATGCTTTTGTGAGTGCTTTGATACTGAGCTGTTAATAAGTGAAGTTTCCTTACGCATTACTGTTGGCTGCTTCAAGGATGTCTTTACTGGGTGAATGACTAAGCGCACATTCAAGATGTGCATTTCAAATGTATAGTACCTCATAGGGTTGAAAAGTTCTACCCTAGGACTACTTGTGGTTTATGATAAATTGCTTGCAAACATCACTTTACAGAAATTTCTAGGAAACACATGAGCTTTGTAATGTGTTGTCGTCTAGTGTAATGTGTAAACCCCTCTAGTAAATACAGCTACTTTCTTTCAAGAAACAAACTTAAAACATTGTTTTATTTTAGCCTTGGGGAGGGGTTGGACATAGACTTGTTGCTGAAATAGTGTGCTGTCATCATCCTCTTGAGAGTTATTATCTTAGGGACAGAAGTGTGAGTGAGTGGGCATCCCTGAGTTGTCACTGGCAGCTGGAAGAGTGACTAAGAGCAGCTCTTGTGAAAAGCTTGTCATGTCATGCTGACTTGTCATTGCCAGCATGTGTCTGGCCAAAGTGCACAGAAACTATTTAAAGGATGCAATGTAGAGAGAAAAGAAGAAAGGTCCTTTTTGTTGGTTTTTTTTTTTTGGTTTTTTTTTTTTTTTTTTGGTCAGATCTGATTAATTGCTGTTACTGGTGATAAGTAACAGCATTTTTTTTTCTTTTCCAGAGTAAAGATGGGAAAACACCTTTGCACATGACAGCAATCCATGGTAGATTTTCAAGATCCCAAACCATCATTCAAAATGGTAAAAAGGGGGAGAGAATATTTTTGTCATAAGCTTTCTGGGTTGAATGTTTTCATCCTCTTGTATTGGTAACAACGTGCTGATTTTTTTTTCATGTCCAGTGTCCAGTAATGGTGGTGGAGTCCGGCATATCTGTTTATAAAGTTTGATAAGTTACACTGATGAACCATTTCTTTTTCAGAATGCAGGAATATAAATATATAGATTTGTTTTCCATAACCTAGGTTGTAGAGAGTTTGGCCCATAAGGTTACATAATTAAATGCTTTTCTCTACCACTGAAATCTATATAGGTTTTAAATCCAAACCAGTCAGTCACTGACAATTAATAATGTTACTTAGATGATCATCAATCCTATTTTTCTAACAAAGTATCTGCATGCCTACATATACACTTACCTAGTAACTTCTCTTTATTATAGGAGCTGAAATAGACTGTGAAGATAAGAATGGAAATACCCCATTACACATAGCAGCTAGATATGGCCATGAGCTATTAATCAACACTCTGATTACGAGTGGTGCTGACACTGCAAAGTAGGTAACTTTACTGACATGAATGCAAGCTGACATAATTTAGAAGTGTGTTTATTAGGTTAGCAGAACTAGTGCAATTTTTTAATATCATCTTCAACTTGCAACAGGAAATATTTTGTTTATTATGCTGTATTGTACTTGTAAATAGCTAGTCAGTATATCACAAGTTGTACCAAAAAAAAAGAGAAATAGAGTTTTCTGTAATGTATTTTAAGTAAAAGCTCTGAAAGTTTTAATAGGCTGTTGCACTGATAATGCATGCTGACAGCTTGGAAGGAAATGTTTAAGATGTGAAGTTAGCTCAGCATTCTAAATAGGTGGTTTGCTGAACCCACCATGCATGTGCACTTTGGCACACAATCATGTTTGTTTTATTTTAATTGTAATGAAGCTGTGATACCTGATTATGGTGTATCTTAGGCGGGGTATACATGGGATGTTTCCTCTCCATTTGGCAGCATTAAGTGGATTTTCAGACTGCTGCAGAAAGCTCCTCTCATCAGGTAGGACACTCTTTTAAATTCTTAAAATTTGTACTTCATTGTGTATTTCACAGAATAGCTTTTAATTAAATCTTAATTTAGTGATGCATAGAAATCCTTATAGTTCACTAGTACCTTGGGGCCAATGGTTGTTTTTTAATGGACAGTCCGTAGTTAAAGTGAATGCAAAGTTTTGCAGACATAAGTTTAAAAAAAAATCAGCCAAATTTTAATAATACATTTATAATTTCTTTAATACTGTGTTTGTGCATTTCGAGTTGCCCACAGAGGTGGGATGACTGATTAAGACCATAATGAAACTTCAAGGAGAAAGATTGATAATCTTTTTTATTACTTCATGGAGCATCCAATTTCCATTCCATGGTGTCTTTAGCTTAATAGAGATCAGTCTATTCCCATCTGTTCCTGTAGCGGGCATGTAATAGCACTGAAGACTCTGTGGACTTCTATATTAAGAAACTGTTGCATTGTTATTATGTTGTTAATGAAATGCAATGCAGTTGCACTTTTCTTTTGATGTTTGACTCCTCCCTGAAGATATGGATTATTACTTCTCTTGTTGGCCAGACTCTTAGGTGAATTCTGAACTCTGAACCAGTGCAATTCTGAGAAAGTAGATTTATCCAAATGAAGCTTCTGGAACAGAAGAAAAATAAGAATGAAACTAAATGGTTCTGTATTAATCTGAAGACACTTAATGTTTTTTGAAAAAAGACAAGTGGGGAGGAGAGAGTTGGGGAAAAGGAAGCGTAAGAAGTTGCTTCCCCAGCTTTATACTGTTTGTTAGGGAAGCCTGGGAGAAGAACTAGAGGAATATACTAAAGCTGCCTACTGGTAAGGCTTTTTATTGACTGTCCTGTCATGGGCAAGCTTGCAAGGATTCACTTCAGTAAAGAACTGTCCAGTAGTTGACAATATTTCAATTGGATGTGTTCAAAATGAGGGATACTGGCTCTTTCTTCTTCCTGCATATGCTGTGGTGCTGGCTGTGCCTTTACTGGAGGTTCAGTATGGCAAAGGAAATCATGTGGAGGACTTGCAAGTGGTTTCTGTGGCTTTTACATGAATTGAGAAAATTTGGATGCAAATCTAGCCTGGAACAGATAAGGACTTGAAGAGTGTGCTCAGCCTTCAGGCTAGAAAGACTACCTACTGCTAAGAGCATTTAGGATGTGCTCTTGCTTGACAATATTTCAATTGGATGTGTTCAAAATGAGGGATACTGGCTCTTTCTTCTTCCTGCATATGCTGTGGTGCTGGCTGTGCCTTTACTGGAGGTTCAGTATGGCAAAGGAAATCATGTGGAGGACTTGCAAGTGGTTTCTGTGGCTTTTACATGAATTGAGAAAATTTGGATGCAAATCTAGCCTGGAACAGATAAGGACTTGAAGAGTGTGCTCTTGGTGTGGGAATTGGTATGTGCAGAGTATGTGTCCTTTTTGAGGTTGGGAGATGTTTCTTTTTATGTACATTAAAGATCTCTGGTTTTTAAGTTCATTTGTATTCGTGTGAAAACCTTAACAAAATGTCACCAATCTGCCTTGTCTCAGTACTGAATGACATTCAAGTAATTAGTGATGGTAGGTAAGCTACTTAGGGATGTGGAAAGACATCAAAGGCTATTCTTCAAACCAAACTGGTAAACTCTCCTAAATTATTTGCTATAGAGCAAATTCCATTCCTGGTGAAATGGAATAAAAGCATAGTGGTGCATACAAAACTTGTTTTAGGGGATATAGAGTAGGAAAACAGTCTTGAAATAATAGTATTTTTGAACAACATGTCTTATGTTGTTCATTATCTATTGTTGTTGAACAGTTCTTAAAAGGAAAAAAAAATAAAGCCACAAATGGAGATTTAGTAAATAAGTTACATTGCACAAGAGCAAAACTCTCATGAGAACATAATAGTTTCCTCAAACCAAAAATGTAGCTTTGAAACCTGATGTAAACAGTAATCTTTCTGTCAAAATATATGGGTAGATATGGAATTACACAGCAAATGTTAGTGATCTTGGATTTGAAGTTCCACAGCTGAGCCTTTTTGGAAAGAGAAAACTCCACTGTTCTGCAAAGAGCTCCGCTGTAATTAACTGCTATTTGCAGCCATCCCTCCAACTCAGTGAAGTTCTTTCTTTGGGATTAAAACACTAAACTCAAGGGTAAAATTTAAGTAGCTCCTATATTTAGTAATACTGACATCCCCAAAAATTAATAATCTCTGCACAACAATGATAAATTCTAGCATATTCCTAAATTTTCATATGACCTGCATATATCTTATATTCAGTAGTAAATGGCACCGAAATGTTAGCAGGTAAACAGAATGAGAAAGAACACAGCCTCAGTGCACCTACTTGTGTTTTACCTTACCCCTTTCACTTTTATTTAAATGCCTGTTTTTCAAAACATTGGAAATAGCAAGGACATGTTTCAAATGAAGTAATTTTTAATGCTTGAGTGCTCTTTTGCAAATAGCTGTTAAGTTTGCTTAGCAAGCATTTCTCTTTAACAGCAGATGACAGCAGTTTTGTGAAAGGTGATGTTACATAATCATTTTACAAAATATTTGCTTTGTAGGTTTTGACATTGACACACCAGATGACTTTGGCAGGACTTGTCTTCATGCAGCTGCAGCTGGAGGGTGTGTAAAAAAGCATTCATGCTTTCATATTCAGTATTTCTTTTTCAATTGCTGATCATTCTTTTTTTCTATTATTTCCTCTGTTTTTTCTGCCCTCTCCCCTTGGAACTTATGTAAATATGAAAATAATTTCAAGATGGATTCTATCTGCAAACAAAAAATTAATTAACTGTTCAGCTCAATAAGTCATTGCTGGAGTACAGTGTCCAAGTGTCATCAGCCTTACATTAGATTTATGTTTGGGGATGAACTGATTTTTTTTTTTTAAATTCCCATGGATGATGATAAAATTTTTAGAATTTACAGCATTCAAAGATGGCATGCCCACCTCAGATCACTGTGGGACATGAGATAGAGAACAGCAACTTTGGGAAATTTGTTTTTACCAAATCCATAAATTCCAAAAAGGTCAGTCTAAATAAACTAAAAGCAATAATTAAATTCCAGTGTTTAGGTGGATGAAGTAGTCAGAACTACTTGCTCATCACTTGAGTTGTGATCCATATTGATTATTGTTATTGTATTGTAGGTTTTCTATAGCAGCTACTCAAATTGCCTGGAAGAATTGGGTAATAAATTTCATGATACACTTTGTGGGACACAAGAACTCCATGATATTGATATTTTCATTTTTCTGTTTGAATGTTGTTTAAGTAATACTGTTAAGTAATCATTTGAAATCAAAAGTACTTGCTAGATACATCCTTGTTGCAAGTGGTAAAAGTTAAAATGCTATCTCTTCATACAAAAACCAAATAATTTGTGAGGCATTCCCTCACTCATCTCAAGTTTAGGAAAGTCACAAAAAATAGTGTTTAAACAATAAACAATATAGTATATCTATTATGTCTATTATGATGATAATTTATTGAAAATTGATTACACTAAAAAGTAAAATATCTATGCTTCAACTTACATTTGGCCTTAAAATATATGCAGTAAAATCTTGCCTCTCTGCTGGAATCCTGGTAGCAAAAGCATGTGACATGCAGGTGTTATTGTTTGTTTGTTTATAAGAATTTAATTATTTATTGAATTAGGTTCATGTTTATGTGCTTTATGCATGCCAGTTGGTATCAATAAAATTTATATATGTGGTCTTGAAATAATTTATATTCTTTATTGGTTTGGTCCATAAATTATGGAATCTATTTTACATACAGGAATTTATATATCAAAAATTCCACATTATAGTTCAGTTCCATTAAACTTAACATATGAGATGTTCATGTGTAGTAGTTCTGATATTTATAGAGGCCAGTATTAAGGAAATAAAATTTGCAATCACAAGTAATAGTGTATTAATTTAATAGGAATTTGGAGTGCCTAAATCTTCTGCTAAATACTGGTGCAGACTTCAACAAAAAGGACAGATTTGGAAGGTAAGACATTCCAGATTTGTATATTGGAGAGGGCTGTTAAAAGTATTGCAGTAGCAGCTTGTTGATATGTGGCCAAGTCTGCGTTCCAGTTTAAATGTTTTTTTATGATATGATGTCTCTCATAGACTGCGTTTCAGCATATGTTCTCAAAAGTCACAAACCTATTTTGTAATCCTGTTTTGTTAGGTAGGTGTTTAGTCTTGTTTTCAAAGACTGAATTTCACATTCAACTGTAATTTTTGTGAACTTTCTTTCCTTATAACATGGATCTAATATGTTTAAATTGCTCTCATCCAAGGACATTAGTAACATTTTCCAAATAATGTATTAGTCAAATCTATAAATCTGTGGCTATTTCTAAGCTCTTTTATTAATATACCCAGTATTTTATTATAACTGCTTTACCTTTTTCATTTCACAATATCGATCCCTTTCTGCTTTCCTGTTTGAGCTCTGAACTCTTTTGGAATGACATTAATTTCTATTTTTAGTATATGATTATTTAAGTTTAGATTGCAGGATCAATACTTATGTAAAATCTCATGTCACATCATGGAAAATATGATTTTCTGGGATGTGAAGAGCAGGAGTAGGACTTAAAGAAAAAGTTATGGATTCAAAGTTGTATTTTGCTTTAAATTCCACTTCCATTATTTCCAGAGAAAGGAACAACTATCTGTCACAACTTTTGTCATCGAAAGTTGGGGTTTCCTTTTGGTTTGATTTGGATTTTTGTTTAATGTTGATGTTATATAGAGCAAGTTTTTCAGGAGATGGAAAATATTAGTTTAAAATGGGGAGAAATGGGAAAAAGATATTTTAAGGAAAAGGAAAGAGCCTGACTATCTCATCAAAATCAAGATATTTATAGCTGCAGTCTCTTTTTAAAAACAGAAAATTAAATTCTGAGTCATACTGGTCTTTTTAAATTTTTAGCTAAACCGGCATATTTAGAGAATTGTTTATGTATTTGAAGCTGGGATAAGTTTTCTCGGAGATTACACATCAGTACTAATATTTCATGGTTTTGTTACAAGAAGAAAAGATATACTTAACCACGCCTCTGCTATGTCATTATAGATAAAAATAAATAATAATGTTTTCCCCACTTAGGCAAAATTGTGCTTCGTTTATTAAAAATGTCTGTTTGTGCAATTGTTGTATTTTATTTGTGCTATATTTAGTTGTTGTGCAGTTTTTGATTTGTCCATATTTTTCCATGTGGCTTAAAATTACTTAACAGAAAATAGTATTTCTAATGTAAACTGGATCTTCTTCTCTAAGTTTACACAAGAAAATTCAAATAAGGCTTCATTAATATGAAGTTTGTACATATTTTGGCTGGCAAATAAATCCATTATATATGGTTCAGCATTGTTAAGTGGTTCTTAGAAAGTGGCCCTAGTACTTTGTACTTTAGTACAAAGTACTAAAGTACTTTGTCTTTAGTACTGTGGTGATGTATTCTTCACCACAAATACTTACTTAAAAATGTAAGGAGGATTTAAGTTTCACTTTATTTTGCTTTTTCTGTCTCTATAATATTATTTTGCTGTTATTTACCATTGTACTTTTTATTTAAATGTGTACTAAAGAACTCCACTCCATTATGCTGCTGCCAATTGTAATTATCAGTGCCTGTTTGCCCTTGTGGGATCTGGAGCTAGTGTGAATGACCTTGATGAGAGGGGTTGTACACCTCTGCACTATGCAGCTGCATCAGACACAGATGGGAAGTAAGTGGCATGATTTGTACTAAAGCCTTTCTCATTAGGAACATTTGAGCTGTAAATTTTGTGTGTGTTCTGCCTTCAGATTTGCCAAATGCATTTCTTGTATTTTTAAGGATTAAACTTGACAGAGGTGTGTGCATTGTATATAAAAGACTTGATGTAACAAATATTTCAGAGGAAAAAAATGAACAGCAGGAAAATGTATTGTAAGAATTTTGTGTCCTATAATGCAGATGTCCTAAATCAGGAATTAATTGGGAATAGCGTTCTTAATCCTATCTACTGTGTAGTGGTTGAATAAATATCCTTTGTGGGGGTTATTAAGTTAGTTGTGGACAGCAGGGTCATTTTGCCTTAAAATCAAATTCCAATGAAGGATGGATATTAACTTGATATTTCAGTATAAGATGCTTTGTCTGTTTGATGTTTGAGTAAGCTACAGCTGTAATGCCAAACATGACTATCTGCTGATAGTGTGAATTTTTATGATGTAGTTACACTTCTATGAATGAAATGCATCCAGAATCTTTCATAAATCCACTGATCTCTTACATGTGTTTATTTTCTAACCAGTGGTTATATTTGGCATCCTTATTAATGACTTAAATGTTTATATGCAAAGTGTATACAGGTAGCAGCAAAGTGATGATTACTTAAGCTCCAGACACTGCATATATTGAGGAGACATGAAGAGCATCACTTCTTGTGCACACACTCACATATGCAGGTTGTGGTGTGCAGCAGCACATTCCATATGCACACAGTGACACCTTCCCTGGAGATGTGCTGCTTCATGCCAAATCATCTTTTTTTTTAATACAGCACCTTTTAAAGGGTGAGATAGCAATAAAAATGAGGTGGTGTATAACTTACAGATTGGGTTTTGAAGGCTAAATAAAGAATACTTTTATGACCATTTAATTACATTTGAACAATGTGCCTTTTTTATGTGAAGCCAAATTTCAAAATTAAATTGTCTGCTGCTTTTTAGAAATAATTTCAATTCCTACTGGAGCTTGCTGAGATAATTTTACTTTAATTGCCCTGTTACAAGTTGAGCTAGGTATAATTTTAGCTTCACAGTTGCTCTGAAAACCTCCAAACTATTATGGTTCTTCAGATGACATCGTTTTGCCATCTGTCTCACAAAAGGCACGAGCAGGAGTGATGATGACAATACTGCAGAGCTTTGGGAGGTAACTCAAAGCATCATCTCTGGAGCCCATGGGCTGTTGCCCTTCTCATTAACATTTGGGTCTCTGGAAGGCAGGCTGCAAAGCAGAATGGCCTGAGGGGAACCTTTTATATTGATGCACCAAGATGAGTAGTAACAGCTGGAAAACCAGTACTGCTCAGCTCATTCAAACAGGAATGAAGTTAAAAATGATTACTGGAGTCAGAATATAAAGCCTGGGAAAAAAATGTCAGGAAACCATCTACATAAAATTCCAAAGATATTTATGTGCAATTTTATGGTCTTTGTTCAGACATCTATAAAGACAGATTTTAGAGACAGGGATGTTTTTTTTAAAATTATTTTCTGGTTTATTTGTTTGAAAGTACTTCTTTTGTATCTTTAACAAATGCTTTTGATCTGGAATGAACACCACTAAGCCCCATTTTACCAAGACTAGAGAGAAAAGCATGATTTCAGAATGAGGTAGAATAAGCAGCATCTTAGAGGAGAAAAAAAAAATGTTGCTTCTATTTATATTTTTCTAATGGAAAATAAATTTTAAAAATAAAGAATAAATATATGGGAAATAAATTTAATTTACCTGGGCTTTCAGAAAGTTTGATTAATATCCTCTTTGAGAAACCTGTTGAGGAGAGTTAATTATGTGAAAAATGCAGGAGTAATCTCTTTCTTGGATGCAAAAAACCATCAAAAATAATTATCTGGTTTGCACTTGAAAGATGGGGTACTTGAGGATTTCTAGCAGACTTGGCTCCTTGCAGTGTATTTAGTGTATTGTAGAAATTTAAGTAGCCAAAGCCCATGACATGTAACACTTCTTAATGAGCCATGAATGCTAACACAAAATTACTGATCCAAATTAAAAAGAAAGTTTGATGATTGGGCAAATGAAATGTAAGAACTGTAATTCATACTTAATGAGCCAAATTGATTTGTCTTTTGCTTCTCGTGAATCTCATCTCATTTTAATTCAAACAAAAACATGCAAGCACGGTTGTCATTAATGAAGTCTAGGCATTTGTTTACTGGACAAATAAAACCTGAGTTGATTGGTTAAAAACGTAGATATGCTTTACAAGTAGCTTTTTAATAGCTATACTGAACTAGTTCTAAAGTTACTTGCATCTGATGTTATATATGTTATTCTTTAAAACTCAAGAAATATTTTTACCTTTTTCACTACATGCTAAGTCCTTGTTTATGCTGGGCAAAAAATTATGGAAGTGAGAGTGCACCTCTGATGAGGAAGTATTTAGTGATCCCAGAGAGAAGAAGGGATGTTGTACACTTCAGAATAATGAATAGCTTCACCAGCAAGTTCAAAGTCATAATAATGACTTTGGAAAATGTTGCTGAAATGATAGACAACACAAAAGTATGAAACAGCAGGGTTATTGCTTGCAATCATTTAGTGTGCACACATGGAGTCTCTTAAAAACAGAAAACTAGGGAGAGCTGACTTGAATCCCCCGTTTCCCATCCTCCTGGCCGAGTGTGGTTGAATCTCGGCTGATCGTATTCTGCCCTATAAATTTGTCCAGTGAAAGTGAGGAATGGTAAGATATATCTATGACAACAACTGAGTATTTACTGGATTACAAATTTTTAAAATTGTGTCTGGTAGTGGAAGTGTGTGTGTGTTACTCTTGTATGCTGCCATGAAGATCTGCTTCTCTTCTTTGCATATAACATACAGAAGAAGGGATTCATGCAGAAAAGCATACAAAATAGTAATCATTGATATTAGCAAAGGTAACTGCAGTTGTGTTAGCTAGGAGGAAAATAGCCATGAAATACAAGTTTTAACCAAGTCAGATAACTCAGAAGATGCAGGATGTCTGCAGAGAAGGATTATTTCAAATTTTGAAGCTTTGTGATTGACCTTTATGTTTGATGTAATGAGGTAGCTTTCTATAGTCCTAGCCAATATTGTACATTAAATCAGTGTCCCTGTGTGCTGTATTCTATTTTCCAGTTGAATTGGAACAATTTATCACTTAGCATTAAGTTGAAATTCAGCATTTAGATACATGGTTGCATATGTCAATTTGAATAGGTGCCTGGAATACTTGCTAAGAAATGATGCCAACCCTGGGATCCGAGACAAACAAGGATACAATGCAGTTCATTATTCTGCTGCTTACGGTCATCGCTTGTGTCTTGAATTGGTAAGAGAACATATCCTGGATGAAAGGTGTACCTGCTGCTCTTACAGGGTGTGCTGCAGAGGCCAGGGATTCCCCCACCCTGGCTGTCTGGGGATTCCCCCACCCTTGTCAGCCTGTGTGCAGACAAAGCACACAGCCTTTGGTATTCCTAAAACAGAAGCAAAGTGAGGAGCTAGGGTGCTAGATACTGGCTTAAAAAGATGAAAAATTCTCAGATGACGAGACAACTAGTTGAAGATGTGGGATATTAGTTTTGGGTTGTGTCTTAATTTAAACTACACTACCTTTTTTTTTTTTTTTTTTTTTTTTGCTGGTGGCTGAAATAAAATAACCACAAGTTATCCCACTGAGAACTTTTAAGAAATTTCATGAATGTCATTTGGAAGGAGCAAATTAAAATGTGGAGAAAGACTGTAAGAAAGGGTGCCTTATAAAATAGTTCATGCAGCATGCAGTTACAGTAACTAGTGGCCCCAGAATAGAATTTCAGATAATTAAGCCATAGTTGGTTTTGTATTGCTCCCTTTGCAAAAATATGTGTGTTATTTGATATGCTGTCTTATACAACTTCAGTATTTTTATTAAAAGTGCTCTTTTATATTTAAATGTATTCAAACATGAATTTTGGGTGTTTTTAATTACAGATTGCAAGTGAAACGCCTCTGGATGTTGTAAGTCTATTATTTCTCACTTTTTAAGTACTACTATAGAGCAAAAGAGAACATGTAGTTTTAAAAGTACTGCTTATTTTTTAGACCATTTCTTCAATGCATGAATGTATTATTTAATTTCAACTACAGTTTGGATTTAATTGGATTTTACAATTTTAAAATGGGAAATTATTTTTTAAGCCATGTAGTTTTTTGCTTAAACAGTTGGTTGACCATGTGTGATAATTAATGTAATTTGAATGTATTTGGTGTTCTTCAAATACTTTGAATGTTTTATTTCTACTATTGTACTTAATTAAATATGGTCTTGAAAAAGACCCAGAAGTAAAACTTCAGAACACATCTGAAAGTCACAAATAGAAATGTATATACATAGATATTTTAATGCTATAATGCTTTTGCTTTTTTTGAGTCCATTTTTTTCTCTCTGAGAAATGTTTTCCTGTTCTGAGAAATCCGTCCTGCTGTCTGGGCTTTCATATTGTTTTCTGCTGACTTTTCACCTAATCAGAATGCTTACTTGGCTGATGTTTAGGGGTTTTTTTCCTGCTGCTGTTGTCACCTGTCCTTGTCTTCCCTTTGTATTCACTGTTCATATTGCTACTTCAGAAAAAACACTAATTTTAATTTAGTTTCTTATTGAATTATTGCATTATTACGTAAAATTAAATTACTGGGGTTGGAACATGAATATGGGGTAGATGTTGCAGTTGATTCAGACTCTAAAATGTTGAAGATCGGGACATCTGTAATTCTGTACTATTCTTCCTGCTTTTTCTCCTTTATTTTTCAATCTGTGTATATGGGAAACTGTAGCAATTATTGTTGAGTGTTTTCAAAGGTGAGGGGGTTTTGCACTCACTCTGACTTTTTCTCTCTAAGCTGATGGAAACATCAGGTACTGACATGCTGAATGACTCGGACAACAGAGCACCTATAAGTCCGCTGCATTTAGCTGTAAGTTCTCAGTTCTTTAGTGATGATATCTCATCTGGTAGCAAACAGTTGTTGCACAAGTTTATTCATTCTGATTTTTTCAAAATAGGTTAATAAACAAAATGCAAACATATGTACTAATATTCCTGAGTGAGGTATATAGGATGATTTTTACATGTCACTTGAAATTTGCTTCATGGAACAGCTTTCATGTGGAATTTTCTAATTAAAATCTATGCTAATGAAACTTTCATAAGACTTGTTCTATAAGTAATAACGACTTTTTTAATCATTACATTGTTTTACTCTCTTAATTGTTTAGTATGAGCAATGCTTGTCTTCAGTACTATAGGAAAGATTTGCACAAGGAGTAGTGTAGGACAGTGATGAAATTCTGTCTATAAAAAAATATTCAAAATACAGAGTAACCAGCTCAATGTGTGGCTTTGATCTTTTCATTGAATTTAAAGCAATTGAAAAACCACTCTATACTTTCTGAAAATAGTCTCATGCAGTACATAAATATATATATATATCTACAAAGTAAAAAATAATCTTTGATAGTGGTAAATGAAAGCTATTTGTACTGCATTCTTATTACAGGTTTTTTAAAAATATTTTATGTAAAAATCTAAAAGAAATTACTTAAGTTTGCTTATGTTCCTCACTTGAAATAATCTGAGGATGATGTAACTACAACATAAAGTGATGAAACATTGTGCAGTAGTCAAAATACTGTTATTTATGCAGATTGAAGACAGATGATTTTCTGGGAGCAGTTGCAGTTGCTGACTGAAAGGATAAAATAGGAAAAAACCACCAACCTTCTTGCTGCAATTGTGGGGTCGTAACTGTTGTAACTACTTATGTGCTGCATCAATTGCTCTTCTGCATGCTGAAGAATAGTCTTTTTACAGTTTCATTTATGCAGTTCTGGCAAGAAAGGGAAAAACATTAAGGATGGGAAAATTGAAGAATTTTCTTATTCTTGTAGGCTTATCATGGCCACCATCAAGCTCTGGAAGTGCTAGTACAGTCACTGCTGGACCTTGACGTGAGGAATAACAATGGAAGGACACCACTGGATCTTGCTGCCTTTAAGGGACATGTGGAATGTGTAGATGTGCTCATAAATCAGGGAGCATCAATCTTGGTGAAAGATTATGTTGTAAAGAGGACCCCAATTCATGCTGCAGGTGTGTGATAGCTACTAACCTCTAAAATTTTGGCTTTTGAAGTGGATAATCTGTTTAGAAGTCTCTGTCATTAATGTTCTAAGAAATAGTATTTAGGATCAGAGGATGACTTTTAAGGTACGTGCTGTGCTGTGAAACATGTAGCAAGACAGTTGCAGGCACGAACCAGCATTAATCCAATAAACCAGAGTCCAAGAGTGCTGTTCCACACTTCCCTCTGGAAGGGTGCATTGTCCTTGTCCATTCAACTGGCTGTGCTGACAGGTGTCAGTCACATGTCCCTGCTTCTCTCCTCGTCTTTCACGCAGCCCGAACTGCAGGCCCAAATTTAGATAGGCAAATTGCATTGCCTGCTTGGCAGTAAAATGCTTCTAAAAATGACTGGAGTCTTGGAGAATTTTGGCAGTTTGAGAAGAGGCATGAAAACTTGCTTTGATTTTTTTCCAAGGATTTAAATGACTCCTGAGCATTTTCAAAATAACAGCAATCCTTTACAGTATTTTCTTGCTGACTTTCCTAGAAAACATATCTAGGCCTGCCTTTCTCTGAGTCTAGAATCCACACTAGAGTCTTATTTTTTTTCTCACATTAAAAATAGGCTTATTCAATTTGACATTTATAGTAATGGTGTTACAGAAGCGTTGCAGTTAAAAAGAGCATTATGTACCAAACATCATCATTCCAACCACTTGATTTGTTGTCCATAAGCACAAGCTGCGTTCTTCTATTTGATTGAGCTTTCCTAACTTGTGTTAGCATGTCTGTCAGCTACAGAAACATGAATTGTTGCTGTGCTTGTATGAACTGAATACTGCAGCTGTAGGTCAGAAATAATTTCCCTTCCAAGAAGCAATCATTTATCTTTCATGAGTTGCATTTAAATGAGATTTCTCAATTTTCTGTTTGTTCATCTTCCATTTTTTTAGCTGCTTGGTTTATTACATCTATGCATAACATTTCCTTCCCCATTCTAAACGTGATTTCCATTATTATTTTATAATTCTGCACACACTATACTTGCTAACAAAATCTGACTATGATGTGTTAGGTATGTGTTTACCAGTGCCTTAAAACAAGCAAAAATTATACTAATTTCTATATTTTAATGTTCCTTCTTATGTATGTTGTATAAGCATATATTCCAATTATTTTTAATATATGCAACCTCATTAATATATATATACATAAAATCTGTTGGCAGTTGATAGTTGGAATCAGTTGTTTCTAGCACTGTACAGTTGAGAATACCTCATTTCTGAAATTTTCTAGTATTCATATTTTAATTTAAGTTATAACAATGGTAAAATTTTACAGTGGGTTTTCAAGCTAATGGACTTTAGTCTGAGCAAGTAGGTTGCCATTCTGTTTGAGCTCTCTACTCAAAGGCAATTAATGTAAACCTCATATTTTTATAATGTTTTACAGCTACAAATGGTCATTCAGAATGTTTGCGGCTATTGATAGGAAATGCAGAGCCACAGAATGCAGTGGACATTCAAGATGGAAATGGACAGTGAGTTTAAATGATGGACATCGTGTTCTACACAAGTTATTGCATTTTGTAAAAGAAAAAATATATATTACAGTAGTTATTTTTAACTTACTTTAAAAGGAAATTATTCCAATTAACATAAACTTGAGAGTGAAAAATGTTCAGTTGGGAGGAGACTAAAATGTGTCTTACTGCCCAGATGCTGAGAAAATGGATTCTAGTTACTTAATCAGGATTTCTGAACTGGGGCATGTTACTTTATTTTCTCGAATCTAAAAAGCAAATGAGTGGAAGGTCATTGATGATGTAAATCTTAACAGTGTTGAGTGAAGGATAGCAGTTGTTATGCTTGAGCTGAGTGCTAGTCTGTTAAATTTCCAAGTGTAAATTTCCACTTTATTTCTGTCTCTGCTTAGGACTCCTCTGATGCTGTCAGTTCTCAATGGGCACACCGACTGTGTTTATTCACTCCTTAACAAAGGAGCAAATGTAGATGCCAAAGATAAGTGGGGAAGGACAGCATTACATAGAGGGGTAAGGGAATATTCCCTTTCTTTCATTTCCAGCTTCCTACATGCTAATTTCAAGTAAAAGCTTAATATGTAGTGTTAATTAATGTCTCATTATTCTCATCTTGCCATTTTAATTGTTAATTGCATTTTTAGTTGCATTCGAAAGGTTGATTCTGTCTGTTTACTACCTACCCTCAGAATTCCTTTGGACTTCTAGAACCTCCTAATCTTGCTGTAAAGTGTTGACTGTCGAGGTCCTAGAGTATAGTTTTTTGTGGAGGAGAAAGTAGTGTTAATGGGAGGAAGAAAAGCATGATACATGCCACGTGCCAAATATTTTGTTTATAGTGTCTGCCAGATAAGACAATTGAATGAGCCCAAGAGATTAGTAGTTATTCCTATTCCATTCAGTGTTATTGCAAGAAAATATTCTGACATAAGTATTACAATACATTGCTATTTTCCCAACAGAATGTCTGTTTTTAGGAGGAAAAATAGCAACTTACTTTGCTTATTTTGTTACCCTTAAAAATGCAAGTATTTGCCTGAGGTTTGCTTGCTTGAGTTCCATACCTTGGCTTACATACATGAATATTTTCAAACTGGCCCTTTCCTGTCTCCCTCTGACAGGCAGTTACTGGGCATGAGGAATGTGTGGAAGCATTGCTCCAACATGGTGCTAAGTCCTTACTGAGGGACTGTAGGGGACGGACCCCCATCCACTTGTCAGCTGCGTGTGGCCATATAGGTGTGCTGGGAGCTCTGCTGCAGTCAGCTACTTCTGTGGATGCAGCACCTGCAATGGCAGACAATCACGGCTACACATCACTGCACTGGGCCTGCTATAATGGTAAACTGCATTGAAATACAGCTCTAAATCTATTTGCTGATACTGGGATAGAAGTGTTAATAGCTTAGTATTAACAGAAAAGCAACATAGGAAGTCCATCCTCTTTCAGTTCCTTTCAGTGAATGAGAGAAAATGACAGACATGGTACTTAAAGAGGAATGTATTAACATTTAATACATAAGAGATGTTTACTTTTGTCCTACATTTTTATCATATACTAGCTTAGTTTTATGCCTCAAAGAGTCTTTAAAGAAATTCAGCATAATATCTTTGAATAGAAATGTGTCACACACATTCCGAAAAATAACTTTCATAAGGAGGAATGGTTTCAGATTAAATGTGTTTTAAACTTGCTTCATATCAACTATGGTAGGCATAAGAAAATATAAAACCGATTCAATAAGAATTTTTTTTTTTTCACTGATACTTTTCATGCATTTGAGAGTGAGGGAGACCTTAAAATGTAGGAAAATCATTCAGCTCCTTTGCTAAAAATTTTGTTCTGTGTGTTCATTTAGAACATGGTAGAGGTTGTTTTTATTTCCTCTCTGAATGACATGATAGAGAAAAATCAAGAAGTAAGATATTAAACCTTCATTTCACCAATTATTATTAAGTGATTAACTACTGAGCTGATGCAGCTGGGTGACAATTTCAACTAAATGTGGAACAAAAATAAACCTCAAATGGTGGAGTTGTTTTCATGGAGACAAAGTGATGAATGTACAGAAGATTTTGAAATGCAGAGGTGTAAAGAATTCAATTAGGTGTTCTGGATGTTCTTCAGACAGCGTGAGGTACCTTATAAATTTCATAAAGTTTACAGTATTACATGTCAGTTTGATTTTCAGGAGTCTAAGAATGTATTGGTTCATATATGTTGAATATTCAGCCCTGTTGAATATAACCAGTCTTTCTTTGAAATTTTCAAATACAATAGTGCTTAATCTAATTTAGATACATATTTTTCATTGTAAGCCATAGTTAGACCTTTTCCCTTCTTTTCAATACCTAACTCGTACATTTGCTTTAGGTCACGACAGCTGTGTAGAGCTGCTCCTGGAACAGGAAGTTTTTCAGAAAATGGAAGGAAATTCTTTCAGTCCCTTGCATTGTGCTGTGTAAGGAAGTACAAAATTATTCTTCATAAATTTCACTGCTGTATTTAACAAAAGATTTATCATTCTGTAAATAACAGTCTGTTTAATTCATTATAGGATAAATGACAATGAAGGTGCTGCAGAAATGTTAATTGATACACTAGGTGGTGGTATTGTAAATTCAACAGATTCAAAAGGAAGGTAAGAGTGCAAATGCAGAAATAATGTTTGTAATGTCATACAATGGCTGTGCTAAATTCTCAGTCTTTGAGGGGTTTGTATTTGCTACTTAACGTTTATTCCTCATCTCCCCCTGCTTTATTCTTTGAAAGTTTTTGTTTTATTCTGTGCTAGAAATAAATTTTAGATTTTTTTAAATCCCGTTGTGATTCAGTAAATTTGAATCGGCTTTTTATTATACAGGCAACTTAGAGCATGTTTTCAATTTTATCACTTTGTGGATAGAGCTTTATGCATCTTTTATTTTTTCTGAATCAAATTGTATCTTTATTATAAACTGTGTGGGTGGCATTAGTTGAACCTAGAAAGGGACTTTTTAAATGCAGCAGTCACATCTCCAGCAATACTAATTGCAAAGGATCAGTGAGAGAGACAGCAGAGTCTTTTTTATTAGTAAGATCACAGGCAGGGATGCCCCTTTGAATACAGTAGAAAGCATGGCTGAACATGGCCATATTGTCTTTTGGTCTGTTGTAGAACACCTCTGCATGCAGCAGCTTTTACAGATCACGTTGAGTGTCTACAGCTTCTGCTTGGTCACAGTGCTCAAGTAAATGCTGTAGATTCTTCTGGGAAAACACCTTTAATGATGGCTGCAGAAAATGGACAGACGAATACAGTTGGTAAAGAGAAAGCTTTATGTATTTCTGCTCTTAGCTCTGTTAATCCTACTGTGGGTGAAGTAGCCTTACAGTTAATGTTCTTGTGAATATATTTTGCCTAAATTCTGTTTTCATTTTGCTGTTTGTATTTTAAGGACTATGCATTTAGTTAATAAAAGTCTTTATTTCCCCAGAGGTGCTGGTTAGCAGTGCTAAGGCTGATCTGACTTTGCAAGACAATTCTAAGAACACAGCACTCCATTTGGCTTGCAGCAAGGTGTGTGCACGGTCTGACTTATCAGTGCTGAGCTTTGTGTTATCAAGCACTCTTGGAAAGTATTGTTACTTTGAGAAAACACTCAAAGCAATTTGTGAAGAATATTTGTTATGTGACAGATGTTTGTTCTGTGTTAAGGGTCATGAAACTAGTGCCTTGTTAATCCTGGAGAAGATTACGGATAGAAACCTCATCAACGCCACCAACGCAGCCTTGCAAACGTACGTATCAGCAGGGAGTGTGATTGAAAGATGAACTCTTGGTGTGTGTCTTGCTCAGAAAGAGGAGTATTTTTCAGATTTTTTTTTTCAAACTCATTGGATTTAAACTGTTAATAGGTACCAAGAGTTGAACCGATTTGGAATTAAAAGGGTGTTTTGCTCATATTTAAAGCTCTGGATGTTTTTTTTTCTTGTGGGTGAATAGGATGATAAATAAAACTTACACCATTGCGATTCATGTGTGGAGTTACTGAAATCCACTGAGATTACCTATAAACTAAGATTTTTCTATTTTAAAAATTATCCAGTATTTAAATTAAAAATGACTTCATTTAACAACTTGAGGCAAACTAAGACTTGGTCTTCAAAGACAGCTACTTCAAAAAAGAAACAACTGCCTGAAGTGTGCTTTTATTCTTCAGCATGCTTTCTGTTTCATGTTTTAAGGATGAAACATTATTTTCTATTAAATATCATGGAGAATACACTATTCTTAAACCTTCCTGAAGATCATCTCTCAAGTAGAATTAAACCTATTTGGTTAGCCTAAATCAGCAGGAAATCTTAGAAATGTATGGTATGTCATACCAATCAAGATGGACTACTAAAATGACTCTTCTGCATTTTTTCCTTTTGGAGAATGCATTTGTGTTCAGCGAATACTTGACACACAATGTGTAGCTGAGTTATGCACGTGAATTATTAGACTGCTTTAGTAATGATGTCACAGACCATTTAGGAAAAATAAAAAAAAAAAAACACCAAAAAACACCTTACACTGGAACTTGTAAGCAGCTCATATATTATTCTGGCCTTACATCCCTTCTGGAATCTTGCCATATTCAAGCTCATACAGTGGTTCCAAGTATTCCCTGAGATCTGCTTGAATTAAGGAGTTAAAATAGTAAGGATTCTTCCTTTGCTTTTGCTGCTCACCCTGGTGCACCTCAGGCAGCATGAAATAACCAGAAAGCAGGAAAGGATTGATTGCCTCGTTTCTGGCTCTAAGCAAGGATGTCTTGGGAGAAGGAAAAGCAAAAAGGAGATGGGAACAGATGTGGGAAAGTATGCTACCACAGGCTCATGTAATTTCACCCACATGCCTTGGCTCAAATAGTTTTATCAAGAGATGTTATGGGATAAAATAGGTACACATTTGCACGTCTATAAAGTTTTTATATAAATGGCAAGGTTGTAACCATTGTTTAAATAATGCTGCTTTAGCAAATGTTTAATAACTAAATTGACTTTCTGAACAGCTTAAACAAAGTCCTTCTTTGTGGCAAGATAAGCATTAAAATTGTTGGTCTCTACATTAAAATTATTTTAATTACAGTACATTTTTCAGTATATCTGTGGGGTGTGGTAATTCTTGTATTTTTAATACTTCAATGTAAGCACCATAGATACAGCTGCTCCTGTTTGTATCTTTTGCATTTCTGATATATAAGTAAGACATTTGTTTCCAGCTTATAGTTAATTCAAACAACTTCAGGAATCTTAGAATGAATGAAGAGCAATATAAAGCAGAAGGGAAGTAAGCTGATAATTCTATTTCCTGCTGAGTGATAATAAGGTTTTATTTAAGCCAGTGGGAGCCAATTTTGAAAAACTGTTGCATTTGAAAAAGATATAATTAGAATATTTGAGATAAAGCTACACTTTCCTTTGTAGAGCAAGTCAACACAAAATTGATTTATGGTTAGTAGTTTGAGGTTTTGAAAAGTAATCTGCTTTTCTCGCTTCATGCATTATACTGTGAAATATTTTTTCATCTCTAATCACAATGGAATATAGTGGTTTCTAGAAGGCAGATTGATGAAGTGCTTCTGCATCTCTTATGGGTACTTACGTGTAGCAGCAAACGACTGCCATTCTGCTGTTAGAGCTCCAGTGACTGCTGGCAGTGATATGCAGTTACTCTCACATGAGACAGTATCTGTTACAGCAGTTGAGTGGGGGATTTATCAACAGGAGGGTGCCAAGTGTTTCTGACTTTTTAACATGGTAAAGTCCATAAGCAGGAACATCTTTACTAGCAGCTGCTTCCTCACTGTGTGCTGCCATGGAAAGAAGAAAGCTCACAGTTGGTATTGTAGGGTTTCTTTGCAATAAGAAAAGAGATTTGCTGAGTTTCCCATATTAGTTATTACAGCTACAACATTTATATCATGTGTAAATAACGTAGAAGTATAAGTATTACATTTAACTAGATGCAAGCTACCTATCTTACTTCATGACTTGTTCTAAGGTTTATATATGAGTTTGCTTGTCTTCACAGACCTCTGCATGTTGCTGCTCGAAATGGACTAACGGTTGTAGTTCAAGAGCTTTTAGGGAAGGGAGCAAGTGTACTTGCTGTAGATGAAAATGGTAAGAAAAATCTAACTTTGTTTTCCTGTAAGGAACTGTGGTTCTAAACTCAACTCCCTGAAAAGCAGTAACTCTGGAAACTCCAGATGAGCCTTGCAGTAGGTTGCCCTTACAGAAAAAAATGCGTTGGTGGTGGATCATTTTAGCAAAGCAGCAGAAGTGTAGGGAGAGTGAAAACTTTCAGAATGATGCAGGTCACGGCACAGAAAAGTTTGGCTTGCATTTGTAGTTTCATGATGCACTATAAAAGTAGTTTTATGATGCACCTATAAATGCACTAGCTTTGGCATACCAAAAATGGTCAGAAAAACATAATGCTCAAAGTAAAATATAACTTTCAGCTGTTAAGCTGGATTGAATTGCTATTCGTTTTGTCACAGTAGGTATATTGGTGTTAGCTTTTAAAAGCTAGTATGATTTACAGCTCACAGTTACTGTTCTCAAGCTTCTGGCTCTTCAGAGTTTTTTGGCACTTAGAAGTAAGAAGTAACTGCTTTATCACAAGAATAAATGCTGCATCTTGTAAAACAAAGAAAATTAGATTTACTGAATAATTCACATATTTTCATGTAAGATATCTGTGGTCCTCTAAAGCTGTGCTTTTGAAAGCATTAGACTCTGTCTCTCATGCCGTGAAAGCAGTAGCTGGGATTTTTGGGGGGGGGGGGTGAGGCAATGGGTTGTTTGCTTTTTTGACTTTGTTTGGGTTTGTCTGTTGTTTTTTATTCCAAAAGTGATGTGCCTAATTAATAGTTCTAATTATATTTCCAGTTTGGAAAATTTTTCCTCTTTTACTGTTCACTGTGACTTTCTCTCTGTGTTTCTCAAATTACACTGCTTAAAGTGACATGGAAGACTTAAAGATCATTCCTTGCCTAAAATAGGGCACAAGAGTAAGTGCTAAAAGAAACTCCCTCAAATGAAAAGATGGAAAGATATATCTTTTTTATTTTTGCTTCTCATCACATGTATGCTGACTGGAGACACTTGCATTTTTGTGGGCTTCTCATATACAGCCAGCCAGTCCCTTGTTAGGATGGATCTTTGACATAACAGAGGAAAAACATTTGTGTCAAAGTACCCTGGCAGCCTGGGGATCTGAAAATCTTCTTTTTAATTCTGCTCACATTTTAAATTTTAAAGTAAGTCTGAGTGCTATCTAGTATTTTTCCTCACTGTGGTTCTTTCTAATAGCAATTGCTTTTTTTAATAAAATTTTAAGCAGCCTTTAGAATATATTAAGAAGCCTTGATGGATTCTTTTTCTGACTCAAGAAATAGGCAGTGGAATATTTTGGATCACAACACTGACATTCTCTTACTTCAGCATAGTCCAGATAAGTTCAGTGATATGCCAGACAAGATTGGCATTTCATATAGAATTAGATTATATGGGAGTTTAATTTTAGTTTTAGAAAGTTTTAGTGTTTTACATGGAACCTGTCTTGATATATGGAACATGTAACCAGCAGAGCCTCAGCTGTTACGGAGTCATGATCCACTTTTTGTCTTTGAATTTGTCCTTTCTGTAAAAACTACATTGACTTTTTGCAAGCAGTCTCTGTTTGTATCTATGGCTGTACAAATTGAGTCCTCTGCTGCTATATCTGAGCATTATTGAAAAACATGAGCTTTGGAAAAAACCAGCATCACTCCAGTTCCTGCATTTCAGTTTATAAATAGTTTATAAGATTTTTTAAACTCTGATTTGAAGTCACACTGCTTTTGTCATATAGCATCTCTTAAGATGGTGAGATCATTTTTGTGTAAGATCTAATGTCAGTAGAAAAAATCTAATCCTCTTGGTTCTTAATAGATTAACTGCAACTGAAAGAGCAAATTAACTGTCCAGTATACTTCCCCAAAGCAGTTGTGTTGAGGGTTCATTCTCAGCTCTGGGTCACAGTTAATAACAGTTCGTATTCAAATTTCTTTCTTTTTTTTTTCCATTTTTCTGCACCAGTCATGATGAAACTGCCATCATCTTCATCTACAAAAATTCTGTTGAAATGGACATTATTGATGCAAATTTGCCCATCTTAAAAGAAATTATTGGCTTTTTCTTTCACTTGACACAATATGAAGTTTCATTTTGTCACTCAACCAACGTTTTGCGGGGGGGTTTCTTTGTGTGTTTTGTTTTGCAGTGGGGTTTTTTTCCTGAGTATTTAACTTGTATTTTAGTTTATATTAGAGATGTCCAGTTTTCTGGAAGGAATTTTTCTGCAAGCAGTTGTAAGATGACTTCTGCCCCAGACTCTCATCTCTTTCCCAGTGTTAATACCTCATTCAGTTGATCTTGAGAGCTCTCATTGCACTGACCACATCACTAACCCTCTGATTTTCCTCTGGACGCCTTCCTGGCAACTTTTAAGCCCCAGGGGAGGGAGCAGCTCTGCATTTGGGCAGGGTGAGCCTCAGCCTTAAGTCAGTGTCCCTCATGCAGCCCCTTGTTTTTGTTGTGCAAGGATGCTGCCCCAACTCACTCTACTTCTATTGCCCCATCTACAAATGAAGATAGTAAATATTTTGTTATTGTTGTTCTGTGAAGCATTACACAGGCACAAATGCAGATTATGGGGACCATTACAGAGGAGCTGAGTAAGAGTATTTCAGTGGAGTCAGTTCATTTACCAACATCGTCTTCAAAGGAAATATAAAGTATTTATATCTGCTGTTTCCCTGGCTTTTGAATTATTACTCTGCAGTTAAGTGACATAAAATTGCAATTTGTTCTTATAAATTTGAATTTGATATAGTGGAGTTAATATAAGTTAATGTGGTGGAGGACACAGATGTCTGTCTTCTGTGGTGTAAGCAGTTACTTCATCTTGCTATGTGTAAGGCAGGAATAAAACTGGGGTGTTTCATTCCTGCTTATGAAAGCCAGGAGCTCGAGACCTACAATTGTATATTAATTATAAACACAGTTTTTTAGAGAACAGAGAACTTTTAACAGAAGCAAATATTTTGTTTAATCCTTACATTGACCTTTTTATGATGAACTGGGATGCGCTGCTCCAGAAGGAACATGAGTATTCAAGACCCTAGAAGTCTTTAAAAGGGGGGAGGGGGGAAGGGGTCAAACAAACAAATAAAAACCCTTAAAATAGCAGATGACTGCTTGGTTTTCTTCTTTGAACTTTTATCAAGTCACATTAGTGAAAGGAATGGTGTTGAATATGACCAGCTTTAATAAACTTACTTTGTGTGTCATCTTACCTTCATACAACCTCCAGCAGCTATAGATATTAAATGGTGTGCATCTGAGTATCAGTTCTGAGCCTTCTGTTCTGCCTTACATGCCTGAAATGCAGTCATGATCCAGGTGTGGCGAGCCCTGGCCCTTGCTTCTGAATCCTCTCAAAATGTATCTCTTCTGCAGACTGTCACTGTTAACTCTGAGCTGTTTAAGTGCTGTGGTACCTTACTAACAATGAAAACATCCGCTGCGCTGCACTTCTGTACGGCCCTATCGCATGGTCAGCTGGTGCGTTCTGTGCTCGACTTATCTGTGTTTCCTTGGATTGTGTGCTCCTTTGGGCAGGGACTCTTGTCTTGCTCTGTTCAAAGCATCAAGCACAAGGTCTGTCCTGAGTGAAAAACAGTTCAACTGCAAGGCCGTCCCCTGTTTGCTGTTTTCCTAATTTCTAGCTATGGTTTACTGTAAGCTATGTGCTTACTGGTTTAATACCTATGTGCAATTGTACAATACAGTAACTGCTCCTGAGCTCTGTCCTAAAACTTGATCTGGACCTACTTCTAAAATAATGATGATTCCTTTGAAGTAGTTGAAACACTTGCTGGTAGAATGAGCATTGCCTTGTTTTCCCTGCCTTCCTAAAGTCTGAATAGAAGTCTATAATGCACTTTGCATAAAAGCCATCTATTATTTAAAATTACTTGTGTGCTTTTTACTTGGATGTTGTACACCTTGAACTTGTGGACTTCGGGGTAGTGCAGGACTTCAGACTCCCAAATGTACCTGAATATGAGTCTTCCTGTTGAGCTCATTGTGGGCATTTCTGTCCCACACAGTGAAAGATGCAGCAGGGTGGAGCAAGGGAGGGGAACTTGTCCTGCTCTTGGCATCAGAATTAGCTGTGATCTGTGGAGGTACTTAGGGGACTGCCCTGCTTTTAGAGCTGCCAGTGGCACCACCAAGGACAGTCCCTTGATGCTGTAGATGCACCGAGACCTGTGCCAGAACTCACCCTCAGGCGCCATCCAAATGGCTAAACCTGAGACAGGAGCAGTGCCCAGATCTCTGCTGAGGAGAATTTGAAGCATTTTTCTTGACATTGAATGAACAGAGGCAAGTACACAGAGAAGGGGAAGCTGCAGAAGGAACAATGGTAGAGGATTATTAGAGCCACAGAAACCCAGAAGAGATGTCACAGCTACGTGACCTGACTGCAAATCATTCCACAGCCCAAGGCCTCCTGCATTTGGGGGTTGTCACAGCAGCAATGCCTGGCAGAATTTTGTTGGACCAGTTGGGCATCCAAGTGGTCTCCCTGCAAGTTCTAGCCTCCTAACCTAGCTGGCATTTACTCAAACTTCTCTGGATTTCTTAATTGATACCATGCAAATAAAAATCAGGCATTGGCTTTATAATTTATATTATTGAATATTGTAATGAAGTTTATTACGCTATTGTAATGAAGTAATTACACTCTGCCTTTTCAATTGACTGGTCTTGATCCTTTAGCCAGGCTGTTACTGAGATAGCACAGTGATATTGAAGTACCTGTCTGTGATGAGCAGCTGTGGTGGAGATTCTGGATGAAGAAATGTTAGAGCTGTAGTCTGTGCAGTAGCTCTTTAGTGAATGCTGTCACCTGTCCCTGTTGGCTGCTTTTAGTTGTCTCTCCTCAACCAGGTGACTTCCTCACCATTTTCAGATCTGGGCTTTTCTCACTGGCCTAGAGTGTTTGGCTGTGCCTAACAAAGCAATTACATCTTTTTTGCAAAGGCCATTAATTTCAACATTGTTTTTGTAACCAGAAGTTTAAAAATACTAATTGATAATGCATTTATTTCATTTTTTTGGTTTTTTAAACAGTGCGGAACTAAGCAATGTAAAACACTTTTGCAGCTAAAAGATTGTATGAACTTGGAGAAAATTGTCCATTGCCTTTATTTTAAAGGAAGGTTTTGTTTTCTCTCGATTTGCAGGTTACACGCCGGCTTTGGCCTGTGCGCCCAACAAGGACGTGGCCGATTGCCTGGCTCTCATCCTGGCCACCATGATGCCTGTTTCATCGAGCAGCACATTGCCCTCCCTCACCTTCAATGCCATTAATCATTACACCAACACCTCAAAAACTGTCACCTTCGACTCCTTGCCAATCATGAGGAGTGACCACAGCTCCTACTGTACTTTCAACAACATTGGCAGGGCAGGTGGCTACCCCTACACAGAAGAAGACGAGCTCAATGATTCAGATTCTGAGACCTATTAGAAGATACTTTTTGTAGGTCTGAGTGAACCCTCACGCTGGAAGGTCAGACTCGTGCTATCAGAAAGCTGTTGCTGTTTGAATACAGAAGGAGGACACACCTTTGAGAAGATGTTTTTTATTGTGGTTACATAGAAAAAAAAAATCTGTGAGACTCTAGGAAGATTTTTAAGAGCATATTTTGCAGAAGAACCATAAATTCTTGAATAAGTACTTCGAATCCATGGCAAAAAAAGAAAAAAATAAAGAATGTCAAAACTGTTTTATTTAACTGTATTCTACCATTCTGTTTCTGGTGCCAGGAGTAATTCCTGCAGACTGGGCACCCAACTTGGTGTAAATTAACAAGACAAAGGATGCTAGATTCAGATGCTCTCAATAAACCTAAAACCATTTTGAAGGCAATAAATGAGTTTGGTACAGTAGGCATTGTTTGTGCTGCAAATTGCCAAAGGACCAAATAACTTAAAGATTTTTTTAATTAAATGCGTTTTTTGAAAACTGGAATAGGTTATTTGAGAAGTTATTTCAACCAAACCTTAATTACTTCTGGAAAAGAAGCTTAGATTTGGGGTTAAATGTTGAATTTTATTTTTTTTTAATCATCTGAAAGCCTTCCGACACTATTAAATGTACCATAAAAAAAAAAAAAAGCAGATGTGCTTTTAAGTTTTATTTTCTTTTTCTTTTAGGTGAAAATTATCTGTCATACTTTTATAATACTAAAATTAAACCAGCTAAAAAGGTGAAGTCAGGGTGAAAAATGTACAGTGTAATAAGGGAAGGAAGGGGTGGGAGATGTGGGAGGGAAGAAGTAATTGTTGCACAGTTACAGATTTTTTTTTTAACTTTTCGGTTTTGGATGGAACTTTTCTTAATTTAAAAATACATGAGTAACTAGGAAACTATGAAACTGCATAAAAAATGGAATTGAAATGTCTCAATAACCCTGTTGTGACTGAGAGTTCTTTTCAGTAATTTATCTACTTCCTTACATCATAAATTTGTATGTAAGATTAAAATTGTATATCCCTGTCACTTTTTTTTTTTAATCCCAGATTTACAGTGGGAGGGAGGAGGGGAGGTGAATTTAAAAGTATATTTCCCTATTAGAGAAAAAAGTACAGTGTCTGGTCTGTGGGAAGAGCTGTGTATCTTTGTTGTGCTCCATTTAGAAAATAAACAGCAGAAACAGGTCCCTGTAATGTAGTTCAGACTTGCCCAATTTATTTTTTTTTTATTTATAACAGACTACTGTGGTTTTTTTAATTGCCTGAAGAATGAAAAACTGACATAAGTAAGCTGAAGTTTTGTCTGTTAAATATGAGTTTACTTTATTTGGCTCTGCTTTAACTATAACTGTTACTTTTCAAATGGATTTGTTTATGTACACGCAAGGAATTCTTGCGTGTCGTGGCAAAGTACAAATAAATTACTACAAACTGATTCCAATTTCATTTTTATCCTTTTTTTGTATTGTGAAACTGGAAATCTTTGATATTGTAAATTAACATCTGCTTTTCTGAACATAGTGTGGAAACATGGGACAGTATTTTGATCTATTTGATAATTTTGTGAGGTTTTTGAAGAATTAATGAGCATGTACATAGAAATAGTGACTGCTTGAATACTGTATTTACCTGCACTCTTTCAGTACTTCAAGATTCCTGTATATTTTACAGAGTATAATAAAACCCAAATGTGAGTTCTACTAATGAATAATTTATTTGTATGTACTAAGAATTAATGACAAAGTCTCTTGTCGAAGTGTTGGAGTTTATAAAATCTTCAGAAGGCTTTGCCAGCATTTTAATTCTAAAGCGAAGGTGAGCTACTTAAAGTAATTTTAAATACTGCTTTATTATTCCTTTAGGCTCCCTTATAAATACTGCTTTCTTAACCATTTGTGCCTGTGTTCATTGTTTATCTGTGAGCAGAGTTAGAGGACTTCAGGGAGGTGGTGATTTCTGTGCTCTCTTCCCTCTGAGTCTCACGTGTGTGGCTCTGTGGCAGCGATGTTTGTGCCACGGGCAGCACTCACAAGATCCACATGGGCCTGTCTTGCAACCATTTCAGTTTGAAGGCTGAAGCAATGTGGACCCATTTTTTCCTCAAATGCTTGTGGGAAACCTGATGAGAAAGCCAAGTTGTGTGGCAGTTATTTAAAAGGTAACAGCTGCATGTTTCTGTTCGTGAAACTGTCTGATGTTCATTCAAAAGCGCTGTGAAAGGATGATATTAATGGGCCTTTATTATCTGTGCTGACCTCTGTGACGTGGAGATGACCTGTTATCTCTGTGTGGTGGCTGTAGCCATAGGGCACAAACTATAGCAGGGGACACTCCTGTCCTGCTGGGAAAATTGTAGTGCACTAGAGGCTGGGTGACAGAGGAGGAAAAGCTCAGATGGCATTGGTTTGTTGAAAAGTCAAAGACTGGATATGGAATATAGATACATGCTGAAACATGCTGAAACAGTGCTGTTGAATGTGTTTGTTTCCTTATGTCCATCAGAAATTGTGCCTTTCATTTTGTTGCTACTCACCTCTTGAAAAGTTTTTCACTGCATTAAATTGCATTATTTTGACTTAGGTTTTGTGAACTTTTTTGAGCTAAATCTCTGTCTTTTCTAATTATGAATTCTTAAATCGACTTTGGAATTCATATTCACATGATTTGTGTATCTCATCTATCTCATCATTGCAGTTTATTCAGTGAGCCTGTACCTTGCAATTTGCATGTATTTGTTAAAAAAAACAAACCCGAAACTCTATTACTACCTGGCAGTATGGGTAGGACAGTAATTGTGCCTTCTAAGTGATAATTAAGATTATTATTAGAACATGGTCTAATTCCAAAAATGGAACATGATTTGTTTAAAGACCATGCTGCTGTGCTCAGAGACCACTTCTTAATGAGAGGTCAAGGAACAGCAGGCTCCTTGTGTCTGAAAAGCAAATAATGATGATGGTGTCTCATAGGGGTTTAAAAAAATATGTTCATACCTCAGTTGGAGGCCTGTTCCTTTCCAGAAAATTATGTTGGAATCTCCATTTTTCTAAAAGAAATCCTCCTGATTTTCTACAGATGAATATTGCACAGCTATTCTTACAGCCTTTACCCAAACAATCAATTGGATTTTCACCAAGGGAAAGCAGCGAATCTTGGCTGGACTACTGAAGCAATAGATTAGAATAAAAAAAACCCTTTATGTCCTGGGGAAGAAAAAAAATCAAATGGATTTAAGGAATAAGGACAGCTGGCTCTGCTCAGCTTTCTGTGTACTCTGACTTCTGGGATGTTTTATGGGTTTTCCATTCTCAGGATAAATGTTCTGCAGGAGAAATGCCAAGTCAGTATTAACCTCATAGGCTGAGCTGTTACTTTTAGAGTGTCATGTTGCAGGCTAAATGCTGGATGCTGATAAGATGAAGAATCTCCCCCTCAGAGTGACTCTACCGCAGTTGAGGAGATTTTTGGTGTAAGTCTATATAAAATCTCTGTGTCCTGCTTTGTATTCCCTCCTGTAAGTTTTTATTGCCTTCCCATGCTTAGATGTCTCCAAAATAGTTGTATAAATACAGGTGGAACAGTCAGAGCTTTTATTCTAGACACTTTTTAAACTTAGATTGGTTGCAGTTGTTGGGGGTTTTTTTTCTGGTAATTTATTTTGTTTAAAATTCTGACTTGTCTATGTCCTGGTTTTGGATATCAGGCTAAAGAATTAACATACGTTTGGTTGAAAAAGAAGTTAACATTTAAAAATTAATTCTTCAAAGTTTTGCTCCTTTTAACATCTACACAGATGTTAAAAGGAGCACTAAAGATCCCAAAGCTGTTACCTAAACTGTAGGGAAGATGACTAAAAAGGAGTATGAGATAATGTTTACAGATTCTCAAACCCAATTAATTCTGGTTTTGAGAAGAATTGGCCTTCCTGTCTTGCCCAGATTGTACCCATTTAAACACAACAACTACCGTAGTAACCCAGAATAACATGCTCTATTTATAGCTACTGTTAAAAAAAAAAGAGAGAGAATGTTCATTAAATGCAGTTGGTTGGGGATACACAGGTATTTGGGTAATTCAGGTTCTCTTTTGCAAAAAAAAAAAAAAAAGTGTGGTGGTCTTTCTGTTGTTGATGCTGCAATAACTGGGTGAGAGGATCAGTGTGTAGAGAGATGGGAAGTGTCAGTGAGTGCTGCCCAAAGAACTGGCTCGCATGACTTGCGAGAAGCTTGTCACAATCAGGGAACATTTTTAACAGTGCTAGATGTCTGCAGGGAGCCCATACTACTCAATTCTATGTTTGGATCAGTGAAGTTCACATCTTAAAAAAGTAAAGCCTAAATTAAAAGGGTAAATGTTTATGGAACAGCAGTTCTGCAGAAGTGGAGGTTGTGCTTTGGCTCCATGTACCCAGGGCAGGCGAGGGAGCTCCATGGGCTCCTCTGGCTACAGCTGCAGGAGCAGCAGGAGGATCTTCCTCTTCTCCCACAACTTTGCACTGGGCCTCTGCTGATGGTATGTATCCACAAAAGAAATGCCATCACACTTCTGGTTAAAAAGCATTGATTCCCCCTGATAGTAATTTCTGATAATCCAGTCCTGTTGGAATCAGACTATCTACTTTGGAGAGAAGGGTATTTTTTTATCTCTTCATAAGTAGTTTAAACTTCTAACACAACTTCCATAGGTCTGAATTCAAACTTTGTAAAACTGATATTAATATCACACAAAAGTAAGTATTTAAATTCTTAACGCTGGTCAAGCCAATTCATACAAATCCTTAAATCCAAGACTGATAGTTATTGCCTCTTGGAGTAATCTCAGTGATTTGTGATGATTTCCTTATAATCCTCTTTAATATACTGCAGAAGCTGGCAAGACAGTTGGAGTAGAATTCTGATTGGGATGGAAAACTTTTTTTTTGTATATAAATGTGTAGCTGTGACTCTGAATCAGACAAGATAAGAATTTATAAAACATGGGGTTCCAAACTTTACAGACTGAAACCTGAGGTGGAAATGCTCTTGGGAATGTGGTGTGATCTTTGGGGTGATCATGTGCAGGGCCAGGAGTTGGGCTTCCATGATCTTAGTGGATTCTTTCCAGTCATAGCCTCTGAAATGAGAAGAGACACAGCACAGGCATCTTTGTTAGCTGATAGCATTGGCCTTTGCTTTTTCTGGAGTCCTTCTCACTCTAATATCCATGTGTTTTCATATGTTAAGTGCAAAGGTATCACTGTGCATTAATTTTAATGATGAAACAACTGGCTATTCTTAAGAAACCATCCTGTTATTGTATTTATGAGAATCTGTAAGCCTTACCACAAAATCCCTTCATTTTACTGCTTAACAGGAGAAGGAAATGCCTGGCTGGACATGGTGAATATCACCCAGGCTTCCATCCTGATCTGTGTTCCCTCTCAGACCTGCTGAGAGCAAAATGGTCTGAAATGGCAGCCTTGGAAAGAGCATTTTGTTCAGTTGTTCAAGCATCTACAGCCAGCAAGATCACAAGACTTTTTTGGTTTCCTTTCCGAGGGGAAGATAAGTTATAAATGTGACTAAAATTTTCAAATTCTACAGCTCATCTCACAACTGAACTTTCCTGACAGGGAAAGATGACTGTCCCTGCTTAGAGGACTTGGAGATTTCTTGCAGCTCTTTCCAACCTGGTATCCCAGTCTCTTTAGCACATTATTTGTCTTCAAATAAATCAGTATTTAAATTATCCCTGCTTCCCTGGTGTGCTGTGTGTTATTTTACATTAGGATAAATTTAGCTCACTCCATTCTATGCTATGTTTTGGCAATTTTCAAGCTGAGGTTGGGAAAAAGATCTTGCAGTGTTCCCCCATGTAACTGTAAACATAGTTGAATAATAGAGAACTTAAAGAGCCTTTCAAGTTGTCTTCACGTTGATGGTGTCACTAAATATTTAAAGAGGAAAAAAACACCTTACAATCTTTCTTTTTTTAATTAAAATTGCAATAGATGCAGCCAGAACTCTTGCTATTCAGGTTTACAACAGAACAAAACAAAACCTGCTTTGAAGTCTTGTCAAAGGACAGACTTGCAGGATTTCTTTTCTGTACCTGGGATCTGACATAAGTCTGACATCTCAGGTGTTCTATGTTAAAAGAATGGATAAGATAGCTTAAATAGTTTTATAACCAAATCTAGTGATTCATGTATCCTGTCATGTATTTCCTGTCTCTTGCCAAACTTTGTTACTCAAACTGTCTGCATAATTTTCTAAAAATCTTAAAAATCTTCCTAATCTAATAAAGTCTTAATTAATTCAACCTTTCTAATCTCTTCTGTCAAGAGTTTGTTTCATTTGTTGTGGTTCCCACTATTATCTCTGCTTTCTGACCTGTGTTGCCCGCACCTGCTCTCCTAGGGCAGGGAAAAAGAGCACAGTGACTCTCCCAAGTATTTTCATTGTTGTTGACTTTTAAAAACTTGAGGGAGTGATAATTCAGTTCAGCCTGTGAATATTTGGGGTTTTCATCTCACTGGCTGAGATCTGCCTCAAGGAGCTTGTGCCCAGCTGGGCCTTGTGAAGGTCTCTGATCTGAGCAGATTGTGTTGCCTCAGCCACTTCCCAAGTCTCTTGATAGCTCAACTCCAAGGTTCTGTTTTCCAGCTGTGTCACATCAGCTTCTTCCCATGCCTCTTGATAGCTCAACTCCAAGGTTGTTTTCCAGCTGCTCCTTTGATCTGCTTTCTGTTTCTCTTACAGTAAGGAGAGTATCCCGACATCCACCTGGAAAAATCACTGTTAATCCTGAAGCAGCAGATCCCTTATGAGGAACCTTCCAACCCCCTGGACTCACATGCTGTTACTCCTACCTGGACAGAGAGTTTTTATGGTTGTTATCCTTCCCAGGAGCAGTGTCCTTTAAAGACACCATCCCCTGCTGTCTCAGAGAGGAAGTTTCTTTAGTCTCAGTACAAATTCCAAATCCTGGTTTCACTTTGGTCCACAGACTGAGAGGTTTAAAGCTGCTCTAGATTTCAGCTCTACTTCCTCTACGTCAAAATCCTTGCGTCCTGGTTTGGTTTTGTTCCACTCTCAGACAGGAATGGCTTGGGAAGCTTTAATAAAACTTCACATCCACTAGATGATGGGATGCATTACAGTGTGTAACTAATGAACATCAGCTTTGCTGAAGGCTTCTCACACCTCCTCAGCACGTGGTAAGTAGCTTCACCCAAAAGACTGCAGGCTTGTTTGGGAACAGAGCAGTGCTGGGATTGCTGCTCCAGCACACACTTCCAGAAGCCATCCATGTGTGGGGCTGACTGCTGGTCACCCCAGGTCAGGCTCCAGCACACACTTCCAGAAGCCATCCATGTGTGGGGCTGTTGCAGGTGACTGCTGGTCACCCCAGGTCACACAGACACATCTGTTACTCAAGGATCAGGGTGGGAGGTAGGAGTAGATACTTCCTGCTAATCCATTGTGTCTAGTACTGCCTGTTCAACCTTTCCAGTGACTCTTTGCTGGAGGCAGCTGTTTTGGGTGAAGGGAACAAGGTATGAGAACACTCTCTGACACTGCCTGCTCCTCTCAGGGAGGGGACAGGAACGTACCTCATGCAAACTCTAGTAGGGCTGAGGTCTTGTTCTAACAATTTTAACATACCCAGACTTGGAATAGCTCTTTGGAACACACTTTGCAAGTATTTTACAGGTAAGTACCTCTTCTTTCCTTAAGCATAGCAAATATGTGTAATGCTATTTATTTGTTTAGCCTGACTTACTGTGACAATGGTCTGCTCTGGAACTAAATCCCAAGCAGTATTTTAGTGCATGAAGCTGCATGTTTTTCAGCCTCCGAAGTGAAGGGTCCTGAGAGCTGAAATCTCCAGTTGTTCATTGTTCCATTCTTTCAGACTTGGTCATGTGGTACTGGAAGCAGCAGCAGCACCACCAACCACTGCAAATGCTTTTCTGTTCTACCCTGTACGTCCTGGAATCATGCAGCATTCAGCAAGAACATGGTATGGGTGCCAAAGAATTAATGATCTTTAATAACCCTGTGGTGGAATGGCCTACTTTTATAGCAGCAAGTTTATGCCTAATGAGATACAGACATTCCCCTCTCCATATTTCTGTCCAATATATGCTGCAGGATAAACAAACCTGGTGTGCTGCTGTATCAGAGTGGTGTTCAACAAGGGCCTGATTCACAGGGATACAGACTGACAGAGCCCAAGATCTTCCATAATCATACACTAATTCTGTGTAAATATCTCAGAAACCCTAAGGTAGAAATTCAGCAGTTTTTCGGTTGTTTTGCTTTCTGAAACCAGAAAGTGAGCTCATTTGAAGCAGGAGCTGATTGAGCACCTCTCAGGACTCATCCTTGTAGCTGTGGTGGTTTCAGTTTGAACCAACTCAGACCACCAGAACAAAGAGAGACTCTGAGCTCTCCTGTCTCCTGTGCTCTGCTCCTCAGCCTGAGCAGCTGGAACACAAGGACTCACCAAAGGAACAGTTGTGTTTATTCCATTACTTAACAGCCATTACCCAGATGAAGTCATAATAGCCAATAAGACCCCATAAAATTATAATGCTTGAGAATACATTAACTTGTCTGAATGTAACCCCAAATTAATAACCTTTAAATATTCTCTTCCCAGCTTCTTCACTGCACTAGAACAGCTATAGCACTTAATCCAGTTATTGCTCTGGAAAAAATGGTGTGTTTTACTGAGCAGCACAAACCTGCCATCTGGCACATGAAGCATTGATGCAAAATCCTTGCTGTCCCACAGCTTATTATGTGCTTTTCATAACTCCTCTTGAATAAATTCATGAACAGTGTGTAAGATGTTTTAAAGTCAAAACAGTCTTAAAATGACTACTCTTTTAAACAGGGAAAGTTAAAGTACTCAAACAGTACATAACATGGCCACTGATATTCAATGCTGATGTTTTCTTTGAACATAATTCCTTGTGAATTGTGTCTTGCTGCAGTCTAGGCTTTCACAGTCACTGATACCCTGTTTCTCAGATTAGCCATTCTGTAGATGTTTACAACTGTAACATGCAGTTAAATGTGTAACAGGATTATAGATACCTGAGTGGCCAGTCCATGGTAATGATTTCAGCTGGAAGTTTTTGACTCTAAGAAAAAAAAAATCACGGCACCCTAACCAGAGATCAGAACTTCAGCAAATCAAAGCCATCTGTATGTATACCTACGTGTTCTTGTCCATGTTATGCACAATATTTATGTCTTCCAACCCTTTATTTTGTTTGTTTGGGTTTTTCCTCTTGCAGTAGTTTTCCATTCTATTAATTTCCACACTCCCAGCCAGGGCCCCCAAAAACCAAAGGATTAAACTACAAGGAACAAATTCAAATTCAGTTGAAATGAGAAGTGTCTGGTATAAATCATCTCACCAGATCACAGCAAGCTTTTACCTTTGCAAGGCAGTTCCTTCACTCCTGGTAGGACATAAGCTACCAGAGTACAGACTGTACTAACAGCCATTATTTCAAATGTGGGACCTAATCAGGCAGTGATGGGACAAACACACGTGAACCTCTAGCAAATATGGATATTTAACAATTTCTGTTAAGATACATACTCTGAACATATGGGCTGTTTTTTTCTGACTCACTCAAGTATCTGTGCTAGTCCTTTTCATACCATCGTCCATAGAGAGCAGCTGTCAGGAGGCCAGCAGATGTTCTATTTTTGCTGAGGAAATAGTGGTTGTTTTTCCAGCCCATGTGATCAGCAAAGTCCAAGGTAATACCAGATGTCAGCAACAAAGGAAAGATGTAAGGGGTGCTCATATTTCCCCATAGCTGGAAATCTATCAGAGCAGTGGCATCCGTGACCTCCTGTCCACAAGTGCTAAAGCTGAGACCACCACACTTCACCAAGGCACAGGCCTGGACATAATATGTGCCATGCACTGTGTGGAGCCCATCAAAAACTCCCAAAGCATATAATTCATCACTCAGAGCAGCTCTCCGATAGTTTAAGTAACAACAAAGGCTATTGGCACAAACCTGGAGCTCTCCCTTTTCCCCCCATAATGGAACAAAAGTGAAGTTGTCATACATCATTTCTGCATAAAAGGAAGGAGGTGACTGTTCCTTTCCTTTTTCAGATACTCTGCCAGAAGTCTCTTGCTCCTTAAAGCAAACTTCATCATCCAGTGAGGTGCTTGTAAAAGTCCTGCATGAGTCATGTAAGTTCTCTCTAAATCTTTCATTACTCTCTAAATTGGTTTTATAATCTGCAGTAATCACAGGAATTTCTGCTACTATGAGCTTGCCACCATAACTTTCCATGTTGTGATAGATGAATGATTTTACTGGAGTGTATATGCCACTCCCTGTCATGCCCAAGGTAGGGTGGTGGATGTTGGCTGCTAAAATATTGACATTGAAAGCTGTTGAAAAAGCTTGTTGAAACTCTACAGCAGACAAAAGCGGGAGCTGGTTCATCCAGGCAGTCGGATAAACAATTTGCTTCAAATTGTATTGTCTGATGAGGCTCACTGCAGGCTCAAAAAAGAGTATATCAAAGCAAGTGAACATGCCAAACTTGCCAGCAAAAGGGGTGTCAAAGAATGCATAGTCTGGCTCGGCAGGGGTGTCAAAGGCGTTCTCAAAGTACAGGTTGTGTTTGCGGTACGTGGCCAGCAGCGCGCCGTCGGCGGCGAACGCCACGTTGGTGTTGAACTGGTACCTCCCGTCCGGCGGGCACCGCGGCTCCGAGCGCTCGCACGGCTGCTTGGTCCCTAGGTTTGCCACAAGGAATATCTTGTTCTTCAGAGCCATGCAGCTCAGGCGCTGAACGACCTGCAGAACAGTATGGACAAATGATTTTGTGACAAGAGCTACTGGAACCAGTAGCTTTGCAGGCAGAAAGTTATTTCAGATGTTTATTTTAAAACAGCTCTGAAAAAAATTGTCTAAATTTTATTTCCTCAGAAGGAAGTAAGAAAATAAATCTATTCCAAGGGTGTTAATCTTTAGAAACTTGTGACTTGTAGGAGCACCAATGGCTTTAAAACAGTGTATGTCAACTGCAAACTTTGCCAAGGCAACACAACTGACCTGTGTGTGCCTTTAGAACAGCAAGATCATCTGCACTTGGATGTTTTTACTATAAATTTTTAGAAAGTAATTACTACCTATGACTTAGAGAAGCAGATATGGAAAGGGATAGACCTTGCATATTACAGCAAAGAAATAGAAAACATTGCAGACCACAGTATTACTGAGATATTTCTCCCATAACACAGAGTGCTGTACCAAAGACTGACATGACTGCAATCTCCAAACAGCATCTGAATGCCAAACTTAGCTCTTGCTTGTTTGGCAGTGATCACTGGTAACAAAGATTCAAATAGATCATTGTTTACAACTGTGATTCGTGTTCACACACAAATGCTGCTCACTAGGTACAGGCGTGATTTCTTTCATTATATTGATTACTGGAAGAATTAGCAGTCTGTATTTACTGAGCATGGTTATTTTCAGTTCAGGTCCAGAACAGTCAGTGACAATACTATTTTTGTAACATCCAGGTCACTCCTTATGTAATCACACTTGGTCCGTGCCAAGCTGTGACTTCTATTACATTGTATCAGCTAAGTCCTGTTACTTGTGCTAATCATTTGACAATGATTGCTGAGTCAGAATGCTGTGATGTCATTAAGTCATTAAAGCCAAATAACAAGAATGCACCAAAAGGGAAGCTACTACTGTCTTGTCTTATCTAAAACAATGTTGCTCAAACTAAACCCACACAGAAGGATCTTACGAAAGAGCAGTTACCATTTCAGAGGTTGGGGAGGAGGAGATGACAAATCCACATGGTTCATACACAACTGATCTCCTTGCATGTATGGATCTAAACCCTTCTCTGCTAAGAATGAATGTGGCGGAGCTTGAGCATCCAAGAAAACAGAATCTGGTACTAGGAGTTGTTAAACTTCTTGCTTACTTCCCTAAGCAACCCAACTTGAACTATTTCCCACTTGGAGCATTCAGTTATCCCACCCCTGCAGGCATCACCTGCATTTACCTCTGTGTCATTGTACAAATAGGGCTCTCTGCAGGGATTCCACTTCCCAGAGTGTGAATGCGGAACGAAATCCAAGTAAGGGTATATGGAGCTTCTGGTGAAGTTGAAGCCATGGATTCCATCTTCAGGAAAAACAATGATCTGTGCCCCCTGTATGTAAAACAAAGACATGTTTTGTAAGCAAGGCAAAGGGGGGATCTCATGGGTAAAAACAGTTAAAGAGAGTTAAGGATAACCCAATTATGTTTTGCCAATAGTGTAGCTTGAAGATGTCTTTTCTTCAACTTCATAGCAGGTGTAACTATGTAGTAGGTGTGTAACTGTATAAAGAAAACTTGTTTAACCTGACACATACCTTTATCTTGAAAAATAATGCATGTGACATCATTTTAAGGGCATGCAAATAAGAGCATACTGCATCCAATTTCTTACCAAAGATATCCTCCTTTCACACAAGTTAGGAGAATGTCATCATTCAGGTTAAAGACTGATAATGTTAAAACTTGTCTTAAATTTTTTATCAGAATTATGCTATTTGCATAGTTACATATATTGACACTTTGTCAAAGGTGCAGCATCACTTAATTAATTAGGAATTGGGTGATCTACAGCTCCCTGAATTATTCCAAAGCAAATACAGACTGACAGACACATGCATGAAGAGACTTCTCTAAATCCCATTATACTATAGGGTTGGACAGGATACTGGGAATGTTGATTTCAGAAACAGCTTCACTGTGAAAGCAGTGCACAGTCTGGTAAAAATGTAGTGATGCCAGAGGCTCAGCCTGAAATTCAGGGAGATCTGAACTGTTCCTAAAGATGAGGTGGACACAGTACCAGTCACTCAAATTCCTGTTCGTTTTCAAAAGTCAGCTCAAACGTGTTATCTATGTGATGGTTTTGGGATAATTTATGTGTCTTGAGTGCAGGGCTGCATAAAAATTGCTATTATGCTTCTGCCCAAATATCTGAACTTCTCAAGAAAAATAATGTTTTCAATTTATATAAAAATAGTAATTATTCTCTCCCACAACAACAGATTTCTGAAAACTTCAAGTCAGCTCTTCTCTGTGTAGGGCCAGTAACACTTGCTTCCTGTCACTAGAACCAGCCTGGGATTTCTTGGGAGGGGAGGAAAGAGGGCTGTGCCTAACAACAGCTGGCAATACTAGTCTTCCTCCTCTAAATATATTTAGACTGAGAACCATTCCATGGTGGGTAGGAGAAAGGAATGGAAAATTTTAGTTCCACAAAGTTGTTAAAAGCAGAACATTCATTTCCAAAGCATCTGACTTCCTTAGTTTTTAGAAACATTCAGGAATTTCCATTGAGAGCACTGGAATAAAACCAAACCCAAGACAGCTGCCAGCAAGACAAACTTTCAAGGAAACCCTTCCATTTAAGAAAAGAGAAAGGAGCTAGGTATTCAGACCAAAATAGAAAATTGATTTCCCTTTACTAAATAACGATGGGCATGTTTTTCCAAGCTTGGAATAGCCCGAGTCAGGCGGGATGCTAATTGGCCTGCTTCTTTTTCAAGCTGCTGGCAGGTCAGATCGTCTGAGAACCCAGACCATAGTTATGGATATAAATACAGCTTTAGTTGCCAGGGAACACAAATGTGAAAGATTATCTTCAAATAGCACCTCCTCTATATATACCCAGGGTGCACACGAGTGCTGCCTGGAGCTGGGCATACCTGCCTGGCAGCAGCCAGCGCTTGCTGCTCGTAGATGTCGAGGTTCCTGCCCATGAGCTCCAGCGCGGAGCGTCGCTCCACCAGCGCCGCCGGGGTCGGGCTCAGGATGGACTCGTGCTCGTACACGGCCGCCACGTAGTGCCCCTCCCTCCTCACCCTTCCTGAGACCACTTGATAGAAGAGAAAGCAGATGGACAGCTTCCAGCACAGAGCCACCATGGTGAATGCCATAAACCTAGAGGAGAAAAGCCCCAGATAGGTGGGGTGGGGGAGCTTGAGGAAAATGTCATGCCAGGAATTTGAATTTACAATTAAGTGTGGATGGTAAGTGAGGCTCTCAGCAGTGTGGTACTTTTAAGTTCCTGAATGACCATGTGCATGTTGTTTCTAAAGCTTAAATCCATCAGCACTGGTGCTTTAAACAACTATGTCCTGTTCAAAAGCATTTAAGCTTCATATACAGTTCTAGTGATCTCCTTGCTTGGTTTCCCTTTATAATTGACATTCATTTATAGATTATTTCACCATATATCAAAACATCTTTGAGAAAAGTTTAAAGCAGCTCACATATTTGCAGTTCCTCCCCGTTCAGTGATGGGAGATGTATTTAAAAGTAGCATTTCCCAAAATTACTTGGAGACTGTATTTAGCAGTCAAGCAGAAATAGGACTTATTTTATCAACAGTGAAACAGATAATTGCCAAGAGAATTACACTAGACAATACCTCTGCATCTATCACAAAAATGCCTCTCCTAATGGATTATGAATTCACTGTATTCTAACTCCAAATATGAAATAGGCAAATATTTCTCCTACAGTGCAGCTTTTTTGAGCACTTATAAAAATGTTGAGTGCAATTCAGATCTGCATTCCTCCCACGCAACGCAGATAAGTAAGTTTAAAAATGCTTTCATAGTAACAAAAATAAATTAAAAAATCTATACAAAATGGAGAAAATTTGCATTAGTTAGCTTTTCTTAGAAAAAATGAAGAACTATTGAGTCTGGAAGGCTGGAGCACTCTGCAATATGGGCTCCCCATGTAACCCTTTGACTTCCCAAGTTAGGAAAGGACTTAGAACAAGGACTGACACAGTCAATGGTTGTGCAACAGTTCAGAAAGACTACAGAAATGCCTTTTTATTCAGAATTATTCTCATAATATGAGAACCCTGTATTTGTCACCACAGTGTCACTAGTATCATTAAGGAATTAAATCTCAAATATTAGTGAAGTTGAAAGAGCGTGTAGGAGAGATTACTGGTGCTATACATTAATAGCTCTAAGTTCAGTTACTGATTTTTTAAATTGTATTTGCTCTCAGGGACCTTGTATCCAAGAAAAAAAAGTTCCAAAACACTCTTAGTGCCCTTCAGTCTTTGTGATCTACAGCTCCCTGAATTTTTCCAAAGCAAAAACAGACTGACAGACACATGCATGAAGAGACTTCTCTAAAGCTCAGCAGGAAAAAAAGATCAATCCTAAACTAATCACAGTCTTATTTTCATTCATGTTCTAGTAAATGTAGTTTTGTGCCTAAAAAAAGAAAGTCTATGGCAAGTTAACTGAAAATATCACTTTGCTTGAATTCCAGGATGAAAAACAGATAATAACAATCTTCAATACTGCTTTTTTTTTCCTAAACACCAACTGCTTAGTATCTAACAATGAGCAAATGGAAAAAGCATTATGTAGGACAGCAAAATTATAACCTTGGTGCCCATGGTAGGCAGAAGAATTATTTGTTCAACCAAAAGGTCTTAACATGTAATAGTAACACTTCTAAGGGTACAGGAGTAACTTAGCTGTTCAGTGCTGCTAAGCTCAACTACATATTCCAATTTCCTTGAGCTTTAATTAGCCAATGTGTCCATAGATACATGCCTTCAAGGGTAAATTTATTTAAAGTTTGATGAAAACAGAATAAAACCTCGGCCTCTCTGTAATCAGATGGATTAAAGATACTCATTTACATAAACAGTTTTGAAAAGTGATGTATGACAAGCTATCCTTGCTATATCCAAGCTATCCTAAAACATTTGGTACTTTTGGGGGGTGATTTGGCAATGTACACCAAGAATGGAGGGGCCTCCCTGTTCTGTGCAGCTCAGCTTTGCAACTGAAATACCAAAGCATATGTGAAGATATAAAGCAGTAGCAGGAGGAGGGAGTTCAGGGGTAGAAACCTCTCACAGTTAAGGAACATACTGAAAATAAACGAGCTGTGCTGCACTTCACTGACAAAAATCTCTTTTCTATTCCTTGTCACCCCTTCAAAGCCAAAATGCCTATTTAGGGCAGAAATGGGTTCTAGCCAGCTGCTCCTTAATAAAGTTGTCAACTAAAATGTAATTAGAATTCATCATTATTAGTGATGGAAAAAGTTGGAGAGTTTCAGATCACGAGATGGAATTGCTATGCATTAGAAAAAGTGCCTTTTTAAAAAGCCAAAAACACTAGTAAAAAAACCAAACAAACAGGTAGTGACCCTCTACAAAATGTTACATTTTACAAACATGCTTGGAGAGGTCTTATTTTTCTATCATGTTTCATTTCCTGGTGGTCAGAAACACTCCAAAGTACTAACCTGAATCTTTTGCTCACTTAGATGCACAAGAGGTTTAGCACTGAACATGCAACTCCACAACTCCATCTGGCTGAACCTGGGGCAGCTAAAATAACTAAAATAATTCCTCTGATTCCAAGCCTGGGTTGTGATTACTGCCAGTCCTACAGATGATGGCTGAGCACTTGTGTGAGTGCTCCCTAAAGCCTTTCCCCTGTCTGACAGCTTAAACAACAGGACTCTGCTCCCTCGTGGATTGCTTCTAACACAGAGCCATGACAAGCCCCAAGGCTGGGCTTGGGTGTATTAAACTTTCCAGCCAAAATAAGGATACCAATAGGGTTTACTCAGCCCTTAGGCTGTTGAGATACCAAGTAGTGTGTCTCTGCCACACTCTGGATGCTTTTACTACTAGAAGATGTCGCACCATCTCATAAATCCTTTCCTTGAAGGGAAGTTAATTTGCTTAGGATCTACAGAGCTGTCACCTCACCTGAGCCATGACTTGAAATTTTCATTACCTGAAATGCTTTACAATTTTATCTCTTTTTATGTCCCTTTTCTATGATTTATGTGGTCTTTTGCCTGACAGACAAGCTTCAGCAGGATCATGTCACGCAAATATAAATACTTCATAGCAGTATTACTGTCATGCAGTCACAATATTCCAGCTATAGTTCCACACAAAGGGTAAAAAGACTGGTGTCCAAGTTTGGATGCCAAGTTTTCTCCCCAGTCACACTGCAGCCTGTTTTCCTATTTACCTTTTCAGAACCACCTGATCTCAGTGTGTTGTGAAATAAAGCATCCACTCATTCGCTTTTCAACAGAACATGAAGCTTAGAAGTCTGTCACCTGTCACCACACCTGGATGTATAGACAGAGAAAAGCAACACATACCCTTCTTCTTCACACTTCTACGCTCAGAAGAATCTTGAAATAACAGAAGTAGCACAGCACTAGTCTGGGTCCTCCTGAGTGATTAATAGTAAATGCACGTTAAGCTATGCCCAACATATAGTATAATAACATAAACAGTCCTAACAGTAACATACACAGTAATGATTACTATTCAATGGGGAATGAAAAAATGAAGTGTTTTTTAGGCTGAATGGTAACCATGGATTGTGAGGTTGCTGACATTCCGCTATATATTATACAACATATTTTAAAAATACAGATAGTGAAATCCAAGGGGTTTTCCACTGATACTTCCTGTCTACTGCTTTTATTTGCTGCATTATATTACAGTATTTTATAATGTAGGTTTTGTGAAGGTTTTTGTTATCTATGCCCTCTGTGTTTTGTTATCTATGTTTTTTTGTTGTTTGGCGAGCGAGGGCGAATGGAGCGCTGCTGTCACCAGTGGTTTGACTGGACAAGCCGGACCGTGAGGCAAGGACGTGCTGTCACCTGTGTCACTTCGGCGACACGTGCCGGGATGGGCAGGGGGGCGTGCGCCGTCCCTCAGCCGGGATTTTGGGAGGGTGTCTGGCACTGCTCCCGGTGCGCGCCGGGCCCCGGCCCCTCACACAGCCCGCGCACTCTGCCCCGCTCCGCGCCCGCCGCCTCTGACCAGCCCCACACAGCCGGAGCGCGCGGGGACGGCTGCCCCGGGTACCGCGCGGCCCTGCGGCTCACGGAGGCCACCGGGGCTGCGGCCCTGTCACCAGCGATCCCTCCCGGCCCGGCCCGCCCCGCTCCCGGGAACACCCGGCCGGATCCTGATCCTGATCCTGGTCCCAGCCCCGATCCCGACCCCGCGCGCAGCGAGCCTCACGCTGCAGGGCCGGCGCCTCGCGGCCTCTGATTGGCTGCCCGCGCTGGCCAATAGGAAGCTGTTCCGATCTCCGCCCCGCGCAACCCGCCAACGGGGTCAGGGTTGCGTTCCTCGGGCCCGCCCCCTCCGTTGTCTGATTGGCCGAACCGCCTGTCAGCCACTGCGCGCGCCCTTCGCCCCGGGTGCCGGCCCGTTCCAGGCGGGCGGCGGGGCAGCCATGGAGGGCGAGGCGGTCAGCGGGGCGCAGATCATCGCCCAGGCCCTCAGGGCGCAAGTAAGAGCGCGGGGCGGGAGCCGGCAGCCTGCGCGCCGGGATAGCCTGCAGCGAGTGAATGTGCGCGGCCGGACTCACCCCGGGGCTGACGGAAAGGGCTCGCCCCGCCGCTCTGTGGGAGCGAGGGAGGGAGAGGAAGGGCGGTTCCGCCGCACTGCCCCGGCCCCCGGGCGGCGGTCCCCAGGCCGCCACTGATTCCCTTCTTCTGCAGGGCCTGCCCCATTCCCGAGCCTGCCCCGTTCCCGAGCTCAGCCGATCCCCGTTACCAGCAGGCGATGCCGAGGGTCCTCCGCGGCCCTGCCCGTGACAGCTGGATGTGCCTCCTGCGCCGCCTTTGCAGCGACGAAAACTCTGTGTTGTCTCTAGACTCGAGATGCTGGCACGGGTCTTGCGAGAAGACTTTGCGTTTGGCCTGTGAAACATGGAGAAGTAGTTAATTTGTAATCCAGACAAGCGTACTCTTCTCCATCTCTGTGTTTCCGTGGGTACGGTACTTTCCCAACCATTTATTGGGAGCTTTTTGCCCTTAATTTTCTGTGAAAGTGTGAAAACACAAGGTGCCATGAGGCATTTTCGGAGTAGAGGCAGCTGACATACTGAGAATCAGGAAAGTGATGTAGCAGAGATGTCCCAGGTAAGCATTGCTCGGTGGAAAGCACTAAACACACGTTGACTGAGGCACTGAACCTTTATCCCACTGCTTGTAGACTCCCACAATAAAATCCAGGGCTTTCACAACCACAGAGGGCTGACCTACAGACATCAGCTGATGTTTCCACATCAGCTTCTCATGATGTTTCCACATGGGAGCTTCTCTGTGACTATATATGTTACATTTTAGTTTTAGATTGCCTGTGTAGTTAGCATATCTGTGTTTGGCGTGTGCTTATTAAAGTTGTCTTTTGGGGAAAAAAAAAAAAAGTCTGACTTTTCTGAACTTTTTTCTTTACAGAATATTGAATACATGTTTGGCATTGTTGGTATTCCGGTCACTGAAATTGCAATTGCAGCCCAGGCAGTTGGGATAAAATATGTGGGAATGAGAAATGAGCAAGCTGTAAGTATATATCTGTAGTGGGACCAACCCTTTCCTTAACTGTTTTGCAGTGGAATCAAACCCAGTTTAAGTTTTCTTACTAGAAAGAATGTGGTCTCTGAATTCTCTTTAAAGAACCTATACAGGAGCAGCCACTGTTATTTTGGAATAATAGAGAACATTGGTGCATTGGGTTGAGTGTTTCTTTGTGCCCTTCTTTCCCCACTTCCATTTTAAAGTGGCCCCTCCTTTTCTGTTAAGGGAATTACATCTTCTTTCATTTAAAAATGCTATTCTCCAATAAGCGAGCAAGGATAGGAGACAGAAAAAAAAAATTAAAGACAGCATGTGATGGAGAAAAAAAAATTTAAGAAGTTACCTCCTTCAAGTGATATACTGTCAGATATTATCTGTCAGGTTTTGAGATGCTCATCCTGGGCTTTTTGTTTTTCTGTAGCTTTCTACACACTTCCCAATATTATCATTCTTACTCCAACTGGTAGTATTTTAGTTCTTTTTAGGACTTTATTATCTGGTCCTTTACTTTTTTTTTCCCCTGTCTGCGTGGTATTCTTAAGTGCCCAAAGAGGAAAGTTTACCTGTTGACTGATAAAGTTATTCTGACAATTTAAATAATTCCAGGTTTTTTTCCTTAACTGTGTTTTAAAAGCTCACAGAACAGCAAACTGCAGAAAGTAATAATGCTTCCAGGTGCTCAAAATCAGCCATGAACATACACATAGATCCTCTTATTTTTGTATATTTCAGCTTTATTGTGTAGGTGTCAGAAATTAAAGAGCCAAGCTCGTCAGCATTTTGGTGCTGTGCTGCTAGTTCTCATTTGTTTGGTTTCCCACAGTAGTAACTCTTTAATCTCCGTAGTTTCTTGGATAGTCTGGGGTTGAAGATAATAACCTTGGGATTATATGTTGTTTTGAAGAGTTGCTGCACAAGATGGGGAGCTGGCTGCTGAACTGGTGGCTGAGGGACCAGCAGCTTCCCATACCTGATCTATAGCAGTTGCCAGTTTTCCTTAATTTGTGTAGTTAATAACCTTTAGGATTGTCCCAGTCCTCAACAACGTATTGTTACAGTACTTCTTCTAAATCAGAGGGTTGTGAGCTGTATGTTTTGCTGTCTGATCCTTACATTGTTATATTGGAATGTGAGAATTCAGAGGAATGCATGTCTCTATGGAAAATCTGTAACATATGAGAGAGGCAAGCATCTACAAACATATTTAAAAGTTGTATTTGAGTTTTTGAAGAACTGGGAATTTGGCACAATCTTTATGTTCCTGTAGGCCATTTAGCAAATATTGTAGTTTTAGCTGTGGTTACTAACATGATTAAAATTAATTTCCTCATCTGTCTGTAATTAACAGAGAAGATTGCTTTGCACTGCCAAACGAGATGCTGTTCTATTTATTAGTCTTTACTAGATGAATGAGGCAAAAAACATTCTGCTGATTAATTATGAGCTGCTTTTGTTAGTAGAATAAAAACAGCACAAAGACTGTTTTAAAGTCAAAATGTCATGATTTCTCTTCTTTGGGGAGTTGAAAAGGATGAATGAAGCTGCATCTTGTAGTGAGTTTTGGTTTGTTCTTTATCCTCAGTGAATAATAGAGTAATTTCTTGGCAAAGGGTGAAAGGTATATATATAGAGTATATATATATCTATATATATCTATATATATATAGTATATTCAAGATATACTCAATATATATGTGTCATAGTTTTAAATGGCTCAGTCGTGTGGTCTGGCTGTGAAAGATGTCTCTACAGCTGCCTCCTTTTTTGGTGAAGGCAGCTGTATATGATACATGGAAAATTAAGGGATTTTTTCCCAAGCATTGAGTTTCTACCTCATTTCTAGGCCAGATGTAGCAAAAGGATTTCCCTGTAAAAGTGATAAAATTTTAATTAGTAGTGTTCATAGGAAATAGGGCCCATAAACAAGTCAAATCACAATAAAATCGCATGATGAGATAATAATCAAGCACTGTACTTGTTGCTTGGCATCCTTATGTTCTTATTCTGCCCAGGATGGTGGTGGAGTCACCATCCCTGGAGGTGTTCAAAAACGACTGGATGTGGCTCTTAGGGCCGTGCTCCAGTTGACAAGATGGTGATTGGTCACAGGTTGGACTCAGTGATCTTGGAGGTCTTTTCCAACCTTAATAATTCCGTGAAAAGCTCATAAAAGTGCAGAATAGAAACGCCTGATGAAAGCACGGAGCTGAAAGTAGCACTACCAATAGCATAAGCCGTTCTCCTGTGGCCTTTGACTTGGTGTAAGTTCCCCTGAAGCGCCTCACTTGCACCCACGTGCCCTTTGAACAGTGAAAACTGTGTTGCAACTTCACAGGGGTGTGTGTTTTTTGTATCTGTCCTTAGGTAATTAGAGATTGTTGCAGTTGTTCAGAAGACTGATAACCCAGCTCAGTTCTAAACTTCAAAACCCCCTTTACAATATGTTTATTGACAAAACACATTGCTTATGTTAGCTCTTAATCTTTAATAATAATTATCACTACATATTCAAAGCAATCTCTTTATATTTGTATCCTAAGGTAGTTGTGAGCATACAATATCCTGGAGTTAGTGCAGCTGTGAAGGGAATCAGGCTTAAAGAACCCTTTAATAATGGCAGCTGGAACCAAAGTGGGCATCTTACCACTAGAGTACTCAATTATAATTAAAATCAAATCTCCACTCTATTTAAAAATGAAAGAGGCAGGTTCTAAGGCCAGAAGCTTACTTTAAAAAAATTACGAAATATTGCAAAATTAGGTTTTTTTCCGCTAAGTGTTAGAACTCACTGATTTCAAGACAGGAGTATGAAAATATGAGAGACTGGGCAATGTCACATGTGAATTCTTGAGTTCTGTTGTCACCTGTGAACACAGGTTCTTGATCACATACTGTCATTTTACCAGGTGAAATTTATATCCAAATGTTTAATATCACTACAGGAATGGCTTAAAAACATATTCTGCCGTAACACTGCTGATGAGCTCTGCCAACACATGTTGTAGATGTCACTTTTGTGATTTTTCTTCAAAACATAATTTTTCTTTAAATGTGTGGTACCAAAGTGGAGTGAGACGTATTTCAGCAGCTCAGCTTGTAAAAGACAATCCCAAATCATCTAATTATTCTCTCCAATGTGAGATTTCAACCTTTTGCTTGATTTCTGAAATACAATTCAGAATGGCTGCATTTCTGCTTGTTCACTTTCTTTTGCAAGTCTCTCTTCCATGTTCATCCAGAAGGCAGTGGAAAGCAGAAGTTTTGTGTTTTGGTCTATTTCTTTTTCTTCCCTTGTTTTAGTTGGGTTTTTTTTGCTGCTTGATTGTTTTCTATTTCAAATCCCAAATAATCCTAATGTAATGCCTTCTGTAATTCAGAGCAGGAACCTGAATTGTGGAGAGAAGTGGAGAAGAGTCTTGAGATTTTTCACATTAATTTCCATGGACACATCCTATAATGGAAAGGGCGAAATGGAGCTTTTACTTACATTTAAG